GAAACTGCTGAAATCCTTGAAACTGTTGAATCCTTGAAACTGTTGAATCATTGAAACTGTAGAAATGTCTGAAAGAGCTGAAGTCCTATTAAAATGCATGGGCCTATTAAAATGCATTGCAGAATTCTCAATGCAGATTTTTGTCCGATTGCGGAAAAACCGGAAATCGCTGAAGTCCCAAAAGTAATAGCAATAATCTCCCAAACATGTGGAACGTTTTGATGTATAACTTGTGGAAATTGTTGAAAATGTGAAAGCTGTGAAACGTGTCAAAAAAAATGACGGAATAAAGAAATACAAAACCAATGGTTGACTGCGGAAGGTTCCGCAGTCAATCAATAATAATGCATTATATAGTGTCTTTCAGAACAATCATAGTCGCTCCACACGTCAAGTATTCTTTCATTCCATACACGGTGCTGATAAACTATAACTTTGGTCTCTCGAGCATCACCAACCCTTCACACACACCAAACTCATTCGAGGCAAAGTGGGTGAAGCGTTTTCCCCATAGTGGCACCTGGTGTTCTCAGAAGTCTCCCATCACAGCACTAACTAAGTCCTGCCCAGCTCAGCTTTGGAGGTCTGACAGGATCTGACTATTGCATGTATGACCACATGTGTTTACATCAAAATGAGGAAAAATTATGTAAATTTAGATTCTATTTTCCCATATTATTTATAGGCCTGACTCAAAAAATGAAGTGATTGAAGAGGCACTCGTCACAATCAGATTGGCACCATATCAACAAAGCTACAGAGCGGTTTTGCAACAGCGGAATGTTTCATGACAGCATTTTAATTTTGTGTCTTATGTCTCAATGTGCTGACTGTTGTTATATTTCATTGTTAACGTGTTAATGTTGTAAGGTGCTGTCGGCGTGCCTGCCTCCCCTTCTTATTTGATGGACAAAAACTGCAGATGAGACTATGTAACTGCTTTTAGAGACAATAATGCTGCTTAAAAACATGACAATGACCGAGAGACTGATGGTCAGTGTGCAGACGTGCTCCCTGCGGAATCAAGACAACCTGAACAAGGACTGATGCACAGGCCGTTTGTTTGAACAAATATTGCTCTATTAATCATGTGTGGGAAAGTGAACTTTTACAGGGACTTTCAACCGTTTTTATTTTTGTGCTTTGTGTGTTTTTATGGTTTTATGCATGCATTTTTATCTCACGGTTCCTTGGACACTTCCCCAATTATCCACACCCCCAATATTGGGGGCGGGCACTGGGGAAGGGGGAGAGAAAGACAGAGGGAGAACCATAGACTGTATATATAAACGGACAGAGTCACGCCTATCTCCGCCGTTCTAACTAATGGGCCAAAAAATGTGCTCTACTGGAGCTATCCAAAATGGCCGCGAGTAATCCCGCCCACAAGAAAATTGTGAAAAAACGCATCTGCGCATGCGTCAGCCGGTGCAGCTCCATTCATTTGAACGAGAGACTTCAAAGATTCACAGCAAGTAAACTAGAGTGGTCCAAAAAAATTCACCCCCCTCAGCATTGACACACATGTGGAACGGAGCTTTGGGCCAAGAGCCATTTTTTGACCATCCTGTAAAGACGTTTTTGAGAGGTCTGCCAATGCTATACGTTAGCATTGGCTAATTCTTCTTCTGGGTCCACCCCCATCGGCCCGGGGTGGTATTGCAGCATGTCAGCGCATGTTATTTTGGCCACTTTTGAGCTGGGACTCGCCCCCACTGGGGAGAACTCGAGAGGACACCGGACCGGGCCAAAGGAGGAGCACCGCCAGCCAGAGACCACGGGGGACTGAGGCCAGCGGGGAGAGCGGCACCGGTGATGGGCGCGCATTGATAGCGCAGAAGGCGTGTGCGCGGCGGGCTAGGCCCACATCAAGGCTGGGATGTGCCCGCTCTCCCCCGCGGGTGCCCGGTGGCAACCCATGGTTGGTGGATGGCTGGCGAGACTGCGGTCCGGTCCCGGAACAGAAGGGCTTGGTAAAGACACGGGGACCAGCGGACTATGGGTTTTTATCTCTTTTAATGGATCTTTTTGTAAATATTTTATTAAATTTGTATCCCCTTTTTATCCCGTTTGCCTTTTTATTGATCACAACCCTTCAACAGACTCTTTTAACCTGTGACACATGTAACATCTATTGTTAACTTCTACCTCTGTCCATCAATTTAGCTCACACGAGGCTCCTCTAAAGCCTAGCGTACATCGGACTGGCAACTAATTATATCCGTCGCATATGAGTTGCTGCCCCGCACACATCGACAATCTGACGAAAACGGGCAACTCCCAGTAGCAGACCAGTCTCGGGAATAACAGCGCGTACATTGACAGCAACTGGCCTCAACTACAGTGTGTTTTCTGACATAAACTGTTGCGGGCTCGCAATACACGCAATACACACACGTTGTCAGAGCGGCGCATGGAGCGCGCACATCGGGTCATATCTCCGAAACTGAGGACAACTAGTTGCCGAAAAGTAGAACACGGGCAACTGACTGAAACTGGAGACCGACTGTTTATCTCTAGTTGTAAGAGCACGCACATCGACCGATTTCGGCAACTGATCATCTCCCACCATCTCCTCTCAGTTGCCAAAAGCCGCCTTGCAACTAGTTGTCTCCAGTTTCTCTGTCGATGTACGCTAGGCTTAACGGGAATGTGAAAGTGCCCCTCAGGAGAACCACATTCGCTCTTCTCTGTTCAGGGGGCAAAGCTCTGGAACTCTTTAAGCCCTCAGCTAAAACTGAACTCTGACTGGGCTGGTTTTGAACACGATTGAAGCGATTTCTTAATACAAACCAATTGTAGGAGCATCAATGAGTTGGAGAAGACCTGCTTTTGTATAATGTGAATATTATATTGTAAAATGTATTTTAATTGTGTTAAGAGCCCTCCTAGGGACGGACATCACAATTTAGCCATTTGCTATAAATGTTGTAGTGTTACAAATGTTGTAACACTATGTACAAATGTACAAATGTACACAAATAAATCAATAAAATACAAATAAAATAAAAGCTTACCTGTGTGCCTTAGACCAGAGAACAAATTAGGAACCTTTTTGGAACACATGCTCATAGTTCGACCAATGGTCGATTCTCAGATTCAGGAGAAGCAGTGTGGTTTTCGTCCTGGCCGTGGAACACTGGACCAGCTTTATACTCTCCATCGGATACTCGAGGGTTCATGGGAGTTTGCCCAACCTGTCCACATGTGCTTTGTGGATTTAGAAGGCGTTCGACCGTGTTCCCCGGGGAGTCCTTTGGGGGGTTCTCTGGGAGTGCGGGGCCCGGGTCCTCTGCTGAGGGCCATCCAGTCCCTGTATGACCGGAGCCAGAGCTGCGTTCGCATTGCCGGCAGTAAGTCAGACCTGTTCCCGGTGCATGTTGGCCTCCGCCAAGGCTGCCCTTTGTCACCAGTTCTGTTCACTGTGTTTATGGACAGAATTTCTAGGCGCAGCCAGGAGCCGGAGGCCGGGGTCCGGTTCGGAAACCACAGGATTTCATCTCTGCTGTTTGCGGACGATGTTGTCCTGTTGGCTCCAACGAACCAGGACCTGCAGCATGCACTGGGACGGTTTGCAACCGAGTGTGAAGCAGTTGGGATGAGAATCAACTCCTCCAAATCCAAGGCCATGGTGCTCGACCGGAAAAAGGTGCCTTTCCCTCTCCAGGTGGGTGGAGCAGTCCTTCCTCAAGTGGAGGAGTTCAAGTATCTCGGGGTCTTGTTCACGAGTGAGGGAAGGATGGAGCGTAAGATTGATAGGCGGATCGGTGCAGTGTGCACAGTGATGCGGTCGCTGTATCGGACCGTCATGGTGAAGAGGGAGCTGAGCCGAGAGGCAAAGTTCTCGATTTACCTGTCAATCTTCGTTCCTTCCCTCACCTATGGTCATGAGCTTTGGGTAATGACCGAAAGAACGAGATCGCGGATACAAGCAGTCGAAATGAGATTCCTCCGCAGAGTGGCTGGGCGCTCCCTTAGAGATAGGGTGAGGAGCTCGGTCACACGGGAGGAGCTCGGAGTAGAGCCGCTGCTCCGAGCACGTCCCACTGGGAGGAGACCCCGGGGAAGACACAGGACACGCTGGAGGGACTATGTCTCTCAGCTGGCCTGGGAAGGCCTTGGGGTCCCCCCGGATGAGCTGGAGGAAGTTTGTGTGGATAGGGAAGTCTGGGCGTCTCTGCCCCCGCGATCCGGCAACGGATGAAGCGGAAGAAAATGGATGGATGGATGGATATGCCCTGGCGACCATAGATCCAAGCTGTCTCATCCATGGATCTATGGTCTCTATGTTTGCAGCCGACCCTTGGGTACATAATTTGATCCAGGGCCACTCGGGTCAAAACCTTCACTTCTCTTTATCTTTATCTTTATCATTCCTATCGACATTTAAAGCTTAACATTTTAAAAGCTTTATCTTAACATAAAGCTTTTAACATTTTACCCAAGTGGCCTTAATTCATCTTCAAATGCCAAACCTGGAGCTGCCCAAACCAGAGGAAAGACAAAGAAGGAGGCTATGTTAAAGATCCAAGGAAAAATTGTGTGTGCTTTATACAAGGCACAATGTGTCTATCCAACTGTCTGTGAAACTGTATGTTATTGCTCTCTGCTGTTTATTCTACTGTTTGTCGCATGGCGCCGTAAAGATGGCGCCGTGGCAAGAGCTCTGGTGTGTGTCGTCTCCTCTGTCTGGTGCACACCGGGGTAGTCTTGCACAGTTTTTCCAATGTGGTTTTACTGCAAATGGCAAATAAATGAATCTGAATCTGAATCTGAATCTGTTGACTGTTCCCACTGAAACCAATGGGATTCTGAGAAATACCCCCCAAAAATATTTAGTTTTCCAGCAGTTTTACTACGTTTCAGTTATCAGTCCCCTTTAATAATTGCTTAAACTCATGAAAATCACAGTTGGCTGAAAGGTGACAAAATGCTAACTACTACTTCAACTTCCATAAAAAGTTGGTTACCAAGAAACTGAAAATATTTTCTGGTTACTTTTATTTACTTAAAATCCTCGCTGCCATAATGTCCTTGTTGCAATCGCAGTCCTTGCAGTCCTCGCAGGCCTCGCAGGCCTCGCAGGCCTCGCAGGCCTCGCAGGCCTCGCAGTCCTCAGAGTCCTTGCAGTCCTCGCAGTCCTCAGAGTCCTCGCTGTCCTCGCAGTCCTCAGAGTCCTCGCTGTCCTCGCAGGCCTCGGAGTCCCCGCAGTCCTCGGAGTCCTCGCTGGCCTCTGAGTCCTCGAAGTCCCCGCAGTCCCAGCAGTCCTCGGAGTCCTCGGAGTCCTCGGAGTCCTCGCAGTCCTCGGAGTCCTCGGAGTCCTCAGAGTCCTCGCTGGCCTCTGAGTCCTCGAAGTCCCCGCAGTCCCAGCAGTCCTTGGAGTCCTCGCTGTCCTCGGAGTCCTCGTAGTCCTCGGAGTCCTCGGAGTCCTCGCAGTCCTGTGTGGGGAAAAGGTCCACGAAGCCTCCTGTCCACAGCCACATAATCTTCACGAACCGTTGGCCAATCAGAATCAGGAACCAAACCACAAACTTAAAAAATGTCTTTATCACGGCTTCCTGCAACACAAGAACAATAACATTAAAACCACAATCGATAAAAATAAATTAAGGGGCGACAGTGGCTCAGTTGGTAGAGCATTGGCCTTTGAGCCTGGAGATTGTGAGTTTGAGCCCACCTTGAGACCTTAACCTATTTCCACTGATGTCTGCTGTTGTTTTGTCCTTGGGCAAGACACTTTACCTCACTTTGCCTGAAGCTTCCACTGAAAGATCAAGGCTGTGATGTCATTGGCAGCGCAGCTGTCCTCCTGTGAACTCACCACCTTCAGGAGGTTCAGTGACGGGCTGGTGCTCTGTGAATCGTGTGCAGCTCTGAATGCCACCCCCCATGACCCAGCAGGTGAGGAAATGGATGGATAGATGGATGGATAAATGATTTAGCCACCCAGGAAAGTACAAGGCCTGGGAATGTCATCAGCGCTGCAAGACTCCTGTGGCTGCATGCTAGAACTTTTGAACCTGAAGACCAGTGAAGTCCCAAAGATCTCAAACACTTTGCACTGCCAATGAATATTTGTGAGTTTTTTGTTTGTTTAGTAGCCACCCACAATAAGCGTAAGGACCCTGTCCTGCCATGTGTGATAGATAGATAGACACCCATAGGAGAAATTCAGGTGTCCAGAAGCAGCAAAAATAAAAAGTAAAATTGATCATTTTAACAAGCTAACAATAGTAATTGTCAGCAACAACCTTTCAGGTCACAGCAGTCCTCGCATGAAGTAGCCTCTGGGTGGAGTAGGACGGGTCACAAGGTGGAGTATAGCCTCTTGGTTCGAACAATTTTCTCTGCTCTAGTCCAAAGTACAATGCTAAATGCCTCATACGCTTTTTTCAAAAAATTAGCAATTCACCGGTGGATTTTCAACTGATCCACTTGGTTCTGACCATAAATCCTTCTTGCTTCGGTCTGGACCAGTGTAAAACCATGCACGCTGTACTGCAGCAACATCTCAGGTAGAAAAAAAGCAATATTTTTTTTTTTTTTTTTTTATGGGCATGGTCACACTAAAGGGCACACAAAATGTATTTTAATAATCAGAAGATACTGTATTTTATGTTTTTCATGTATCCAAATACCTCTTCTGTCCATTAGAAGTTGCTAGAACATAACTGTTTTATACATTAGACAAGTTTCCTATAGCGGCCCTGTTTATTTTTTGTAACAGACGTGATGATTTGACAGAATGAGCTTTGCAGAAGTTTGTTACGTATTTTCAGATGTCCACATTTGATTAAGAGATTTTTTACACAGAGTCGAAACAAAGTGATGCAAAGTCTACCAATTAAATCTGAAACCAGACCAGATTTTCTTTTTTTTTCAAGTTAAATTGTTAGAGAAAAATGGACGGAAACCATATTTTTCAAGGGTCATTTGATTTTTTTGTATTATTCCTTTTTAAATCAAGTGATTTACTTATGTTGTGTGTTTATCTTGTGAGATTTCATCTTCCGCTTTTTCAGACTGAGGACATCTTATTTTCTATGTAACTGGCGTCACAGTAGAATGGTCAAATCAGAGGCTAAATGTCGCCAAAAATCTATATGTCAATCTTTCCTTTTGATTTTATCCACACTATCTCTTCAATGTGTCTGTGTTTGAAATATGTTTTTCCAATCTATGATAGTAATTTTAGTTTTTGAGTCTAGATACTTTAATTTACACTTTACTATGAACACACTTAATTGTAAAGCACAAAACAACAACTGTTTCAGAGCTACTTGGCTGCAATGTCAGATAGTTTTACAGATATAAAGTACTTACTCGAGCTGCAGTGTGCCACCTATGGGACTCAGCCCTTTGCTGCTTTCTCTCCATCCTCAAATGCAACTCTAATCTACAGTTTAGACATCCATGTGTCACAAGTAAACAGCTGGGAACTTGGTTGCATTTACAATACTTTGTCTCTTTGTAGGAGCCATAACGTTTGGGGTTGCTGAGGAAACGTCTCGGGAAAATGCGTGTCATGTGAGCTCTGGTAGATATTTTATTGATCCTCGTAGGAAAAAAATAGGTGTCCAGCAGCAAACACGTCAGCCATTTGAACACATAAATTATAAACGTTTCTAACACACGTTCAACTCATATCTGTAGTACAGTCTTATAGCCGAAGGAACAAAGAATCTCTTAGAAACGTTCCCTTCTGCAGCACAGTGATAAAAACCGGTTGCCACGGTTACCTGTCTGAGCGACCATGCTCAGACAGTGTCATGAAAGCTGCACGTCCTCTTTTTCTTGCATTGATATAAAGTTAACTTTCTACTCCTTGCAGAAAAGTGTTCTTAGGTTTAGTTAATAAAACAGGGAAGATGTGCAGGAGTGAGAAACCATACAACAAATAGTAACCAGACCAATGATCTGGTGACCCGCGAGGACAGACCATTGATTTGAATAGGCCGCCATCTTTGATAACAGGCGTTTGTGTAGCAGGCGACTGTTGATGACATCACAATTTCAGGAAAAAAAACAACAACACGGCTCGGGCTCAGCTGGTTCCTGTGCTCTCTGCTCTGAAGACAGTTTTTTAATGTACTAAAGGTTTAATTATTACATGTTGATAACGTATATTTGATAGTTACATTAGAACATATTTATTATATTAGTGCTGTTCGAGTACTGCTGTTTGAAGCGTCAGTGATTGTCTTGTGTTTGCTGTTAGCATCTTAGCTTTAACTGCGGAAGCAAAGCAGCCACTGTGACTACGGTAATTTCCTTATGTGTGTGTAGATACATCCTCGTATTTCCCTATTCCATATCGCAAGAACAACACATATTTTACACCAATGTCTGAAATTCCATATCTCCCAACAAAAAAATACTTAATTAAATCTATCGAATGATGTAAATGGACCACCAACATGTTTGTCATATGATTATTCTTTTCACCTTAATCTTGAATATGGTTGCAGTTGCAAGCGGTTGCTGCAAATTACTTCAAAGATCATGCAGTGGCATGCGATTTTGTAATCACACCAAAGCAATCACCAGAATAGCTAAAAAGATACATATCAGACTTACTGATAAGTTGGGTGTGTTAAGTAATCTATTTGTACAATCTTCTTTTTTTCTGCTAGGACTATATATGGCCAAACTGGACCACAAGCTGAGTCAGTGGAGATTGTGACCTCCATTGATGAGCACAAGTATCACTTCTCGGCCTTTGGTGATGTCTCCAAGAAAACGGACGTTGCTCCCAGTGAGCAGTAGGCGCAAAGCACTTGAAGACTTTTTCCCATTCCACTTGTTACCGGTAGAGTGTCAGCTGCACGTATTGTCTTTCCTGAATGAAGTGGACAAATGCAACTGTGCTCTTGTGTGTCTGAGCTGGAGCTGCCTCGTGCGCTCATGGAAGCTATGGAGAGTTGCGGACTACTCTCGACGAGGGGTTTTTCATCTTGGGCAAGAGGGCCTGCTAGTGTCCAACCGTGAATTTGAAAGGTGGAAGTCCTGGGTCCATCACTACACACATCACCTCATCTCCCGTAGAGCCAGTCTCCTCACACTCAAGGCAAGTTTTGATCTGGGCGACTGCTGCCACAAATGGAGTGAGCTGCTCACTCACCTATTGGACAATGTTCACTGTCGAGACCTGAGCCAGCTTGACCTTAACTGGACCTTCACTCTTCTTGAGCCGCTGGACCTGCGAGTGCACACAAGCTCCAGCTCACACCAGGACAGTATCACCAAAATGGACCAGGTATCTGCACTTCTTTGCTTTGGATTTAAATGGATATTTTCTATTTTATGACTAATTAGGATGTTGTATATGTTTTGTAACAGGTCAACAGCTTCCAGGTGCTGCTTACAAAGCTGACTCACAGCTGTCCTCGAATCTCTAAGATGCGTCTGCACTTTGATTGGTCGGAGGAGTCTGTTTCTCTGCTCACACAGTTCCAGCAGCTCAGGGTTCTGGAGCTCAAGTATTTTTGGGTCTTTAAAGGGGTCACTCCTTCCACAATGCAGACTCTTACCACTTCTTTGCCCAATCTCAAGTCACTGACTCTGCACATTCTGGTACCACTAAGAAATCTAGGTATCTCTTACACCCTAGAATCCAAGTCTATTGAGTTTCTGGATGTGTCACCCAGTAGGGGTTTGGTCTTTTCCGGCCTCAAACTGCCAGCTCTTCGTGAACTAAGGGCTAAAAAAATTGTTCGAGGGATTACACTGGACCGACGAACAAGACTCCGGATTCAGAGTCGCTGGCCATGTTTGTACCATGTCCTACGGGAGGGGACGCCCAAACTGCAGACCTTGAACCATGAGAGGCTTCACCCCACATGGAGGGAGAAACTGTACGGAGAGATGTCGGCCATTCTTCATGAGTCATGTTATTGTGTGCAACATTTAGACAGCTGGTTGTGGTAAATCCTTTAAAAAGAGGTAGCACTGAATATTGAAGAATAATTTGAAATATTGTGTTAGTTCATTGAAATGGTCTCTTATTTTTACAGGATTAGAACATTTTTTTCAAATATTCATTTGAATTTTCCAACATGGAACAAGCATAAATTTTATCATGTATTTTCTTTCAATCACATGTGTTACTTTCCACTAGAGAACAAGATTGCAACAACAAACTGTTTAAAAAAGTCTACAAAGTCTATGTTTTAAAATGTTACACTATGAACAATATCTCACAATTCTGTTTCCATTTTAACATGACGTAATAGGATCAAACCACAATAATCTAATAATCCATGAAACGTTCCTTTCATTTCTTCAAGCAAAGACTGAATGAAAGATTGTGTTTACACTATAACCACAATTGTCAATTGTCTACAGTTATTTCAATATGTTGCATGGACAAAAGCTCTCTTAACGCTCCATTGTAGAAACCAGTCACATGTTGTGAATAACTTTATTATTTCATAACCATTTAATTTAAGTTGTCAGGGGTACACAGTTTTAAGCTGCACCTAAAGTACCTTTGTACTAAATCATATCAATAAAGTCAATCTGTTGGTATCTTTTTGTTTGTTCGTTAGACCTACCTACTGGCATGTTTATTTTACACCACACCTATTCCATAAACATAGTTGTATTAGGCCTATTCACATCTGCTATAACATGTACACAGGTGTAGTAACTCACATGGCGTTTGGGGGGCCTACAGGTTGCAGATGCACACATACTTTCAACCCTGCACTTTGACGTTTGTTCCAATTAATGCTCAGAAATCTCTCATCTGAACTGCCCGACATTGATATGAAAGTGGCTACCAACGGCTAGAGAGGGCTGGCCTACAGGGCAGAGCGATAAAGGCCCGGATATAGCACACAAGACAAAGAGGCGCCTAAGACAATCCATCAGCACAGGCTGCAAGATGCTGGCAGGGAAAGCCAACATGCAACGTCATAGCCTGGTGGCTGACATAGTGTACAGGAACATCTGTGCAGAGCATGGGCTGGAAGCACCAAGGTCACGATGGGAAACTCCTCCAAAGGTGGTAGAGAATAAGTGAGCAAGTTTCCTGTGTGACTTTCAGTTACAGATAAGATAAGATGGATAAAGCAAACCGACCAGACATCGTGGTGGTGGACAAAGGGCAAAGGAAAGCCATGGTGGTGGACATATGACCATTTTGGAGTTGCATTGACTAGGATGCTCTGCACTCAACATCAAACGAAGCCAATTGATCCCATTGGGAGTTTGAGTAACATTTGTTTGAATCAAATATTAAAAACTAATCTATCTAGTGAGTAATGAACAAAATATCTAAATTCACATTTTAATTGATTTTTAGAATCCCTGGTTCATCTATTGTTTTTTACCTTAGTTTGATTTTGATACATTTTAATTTTGTACAGACAGGCATATAACACGTCTAATGTATTTTTTCTATTTTTTCTTTTTTTTTTTTGTGCTGTAGGATTATTATCCTTATTATTGTTTTGATTGGAATCAGAACTCCTCCATTCACATTAGGTGATTTTGAATCTTTTTGATCGCTTTAACATGTCTCAACCCTATTGGACTTTGTGTCAAGGCTGAGCTCATTTACTGAACAATGAATAATTTGTATGTGAAGGAAATTGTCTGTGTAAAGATAAAGTAACTTAATAGAACCCATGATATAGTATTAAAGTATGCGTCCAAAACTGTGCATAAACCTCCGCACATGTGCTTTGATAGATCCATTATCTTGTTCCCACCTGTGAACCATTGTGCTGTTCAATTCACCCAAAGGCACACGGCACTAACTACACGAAATATTGTGACATTTTTGTGAAACTATAACCTGGTGCATGATGTCTAAAGGAGCCTGTTTATTATCACACATAATGAAAAACAGAATGTCGTTTGCCATTCTTTCTTGAGGCATCTCACAGTTTAATTATGTGTTGTATATGTTTGCTGAAACCCAAAGAGAGCTCTGGTTTTCTCCTGTCCTCAAGTCAGTTTTCTGCATGTTGTAGCGGGAGAGGGCCATGATTGGTGGTCTCTGGGGTCAGTTCGCATTTATAGATGTCTCATAGTCCATTGTTTTGACTTCACCACATCTCCAGCTGTCCCACCCCCGGAGCCTCTCCTCCTGTAATGCATAAGGAGGAGTTTTGGGTAAGTCAGATCGTTCCATGGAAGTGCGAGTGTTTGGATACGTTTTTGAACCGGCTGCATTTACATATTTTTTATTTATACCATTTTAAACGCTTTCTGGACTGCTGGGATGTCTAAAGAATGCCAGGTAGAGTGAGAGAGAGAATGGACATTTTTTGCTCTAGACCTAAAATAACACTTAACAACTTCTTTCTGGACATTGCTAGGATAGAATTAGGATTGCAATACAACTTTCAAAAGTGAATTTAGAATGAGAGCTTTATATAAGACCAACATACTATTGAACTACAGCATACATCACAAAGAGCATCACTGAAGCTGGAGACCAAAAGAATGAATATGAATGAAATTAATGTATAATTAATATGGATATGGACTCAAGACCATTAAATAAGAAAAATGGCAATAATTTTTTACTGAGCGTCTTAAGCTTTAAAAAAAAAAGTTATCAGGGAAGCAAAGCCCTTTCCCACACGTCTCAATATTTCCCTGGCTATATATTTCCCGACTCAGTATTGACCACATGTGTTAGCTGTTGGTGTGGATAAAGTGTTCCTGGAGGTTAACCTAGCCCCAGCATTTGTGGCACCACCAGTAACCACCTCCAGATGTGCTCTTCGGCCCCATCTCGCATTTTATTTACAACCAGCCCTATAGTGACATCACTCCCATCCTCACGCCTTTAGTCTTTGCTCCTTCAAGTTAATACATAATCCCAGTGACCCTTAATCACAAGCTATAGTCCGGTCTACAGGTCCTGACGAGAGGCAAGAGTTTTTTCAAGTTTGAGCAAGCAACGACCAGCAAGATGTCTAAAAATTCAATCATCTCCAAGACTTTGGCTTCTGCTTTTGTCATTTTTACGCTTACTCTCATTGGGAGTCTGGTCACCATGATTATAGTCTACAATATGCAGATAAAGAAATGGCCACCAACGCCACCACCGACTTTCCCAAGCACCACGCTGGCTCCACCACCAGAGATGCGGCTCAGAGGGGATGTCCTACCCGAAAGCTACCAGGTTTTCATCCACGTTCATCTTTACACCAGGATTATTGAAGAAGTCAACGTAACCAGTCCCAACCAGACCTATTTCTATGATGGGAACGTCACTATCCACTTGCAATGCGTCCAAAAAACCAAGACGATCTTCCTTCACAGCCGCAACCAAAATATATACAAACCAGTTGTGAAGAACCGAGATTCTAATGAATATTTTGAAGTTGAGGACTATACTTTACACAAAGATCAATCCGATTTTTTGGAGGTTGCACTGAAAGAGACTCTGGAGGTAGGAGGGAATTATAGTTTGTTCATGGCGTTTGAAGGAGAAATCACCAATAATCTGGATGGACTGTTTCTGAGTTACTACACAGAGGGAGAGCCGGAGAACGACGGAGACACCGATGTGGACAGGTGCGCTCATAAAACTCATTCATGAAGCTTTGCGATCTTAATATACAATAATAGACAATGGGGGGTCAAAAAACTATTGGTGACTTTTTTCTTAATTAGACTCTTTGAACATGGCTAAATCAATCAATCTCTATATGTAGAGCATCTTTCCTGTCACACAACCCAAATTTAAACTATGTCATGTCTCAGAGCCAGATTCTCAAATTGGAGGAGTTTTGGTGATTGTTTTTTTACTAATTTTTTCTCAAAATGAGGGATTATTGTTATGGCATTCAATACTGAGGATGATCTAAGGATATGTGTATTGTAAACATTGCTTTATTGCTTAGATACCTGTCATAATACATTCTTAAGAAGATAGACTCAGTGGCAACAACGAACTTTGATCTTTCTAGATTGGAAACTGGAAGTACATAAACAGTTTAAGAATTGCCACCACAAACAAAGTTGTCAGAAGATATTAGAAGTCACATATCTTAAATTATAGACAATATTATTTTTTTAGCCCTTCAAAATCTCTATATACTGATAATATCAACAGTAACAGTACTATGAAAAATGGGGGTGTAAAACCAGAAACATAATGATTTCTATCCCACGATCTGAAGTTTAATCTCATAATAGTTCTCTTGTTGTAGGTCAGTTATTTTATTCTATATAGGCTAAATGCTAATACATTGGGGGATGAGGTGAGGTGTTTCGGGGCATGTCTCACAGGGAGATGACCCCAGATATGCTGCTGCGGGACTATGTCTCAGCTATCTCTGAATGGATGGAGCTTTTAGATGTTTTTGTTGATAAAGTATGTTAGTACTAGTAAAATTGCTTTTAAAGGTAACTCTTGGCCTTTAGACTGTAAACTTCAGAAAAATATACCAACAGTCGCACATACATTTTATTTGGACCTTAGAGACATTTGACATGGCTATATTCTGTACTCCACAGTGATGGAGCACAGAATATACACACCAGACTCATACCAGGGAATGTGGGTAAAGTGTCTTGCCCAAGGACACCAGCTGCAGATGTATCCCATCACAGTTCTAACCAGGCCCTTCTCTGCTTAGCTTCTGAGATCTTACAGGATTAGTCCATCACATGCTCGTGGTGCAGAATTCAATATATGAGACAAAAGAGTTACCTCTCCATTAGAAAAAAAGTGTTTAAAAAAACCTAAAACAGAAGAACCTTTGTCTGGTTTAATCTCAAACATAAGACAAATGTTTCAGTGTAACTTTATTACTGGGAGTAGTTTAGTTACATTTGGACCATATACATGTACAGTTCAAATACAGTTACAGTTTCAGAGGCTGAAAGATCCCAGATGGTGCATGTTTTGTAGAACAAGTGATTGGAGCAGTTAGCGTGTCGCTGCTGAACGCGTCACTTGTGTAACTTCACACTGATTGTGTTGTTAGAGGGTGGACATGTTTTTCTTTGGAAATCTCAGACATCCTTTTGTTGATTAATTTGAGAATGGCTATAGCCCAACAGAACACATTAACAACAGTAAAATCATTGTTGTTGTTTTAAAGTGAGTTTTGCTGTTTTTAATTCACGTTCAGTGTAAAAGATTATATGCACAGTACAAATATGAACTGTACGTACAGTACATGCATATTTTGGATGTTTTTGAGTTGTTCTGTGCCGATGCAGGAGGGTCTATGGACATTGATGATCCAGGACATTTGAGGACATCTATGGACATTTATGATTTTGGTCATCTGCTCCCTATAGACCAGGCAATCCAAACACAGGCCCGTGGGTCAAATCCGGCCGCCAGACCATTTTCAGTGGCCCCTGAAAAGATGATAAATGATTAGTTGCAGCATTGATAGTAATAGGCTACAATGGCATACAGCACCTTTTTTGAATCTAATTTTCTCAAGAAATCAACCATATTATTCAATTTATTCATAAATGTTTTATATAAGTTATATTTGTTAAAAAAAATAAAATTAAATTCTATGAGTCTTCAAATACATTTGGCCTTAAAATTTGGTCCAGTATTGGTTCAATCTACAGTAACTGAATTTTGTTCAATCTATCAGAAAGAAAATGAGTTCGACACCCTGCTATGGACCAAAGGCTCCTGTGTTATTGCATTTCCTGAGTTCAAACTGATTCTCTGTTGTTCAGGAATCAAAAATGTTGGTAAACCCTTGCGAGACAACTTTAGCTCTGATTTAGGGCTGTATATACAAAAATAAATGGAAGTGAAAATTTAAAGTAGCTGTATTCATGTTGTGACAGATATCTGGCAGCCACCCACTTACAACCAACCGACGCTCGGACAGTGTTTCCCTGTTTTGATGAACCCGCCATGAAGGCTCGATTCAGCGTGACCATCATCCACAGGAGGGACACCGTGGCTCTCTCCAACCAGGATCAAGCAGGTTCAAATGAAAAGAAATGAATGCAAATATAAGAGCTTGTGATAGACGTTTAAATTTATTTTTTCTACATTTGTTTTGACCAAATAATAATATAATAATGTTTTAATTTTTTTTTTTACATTTATTTTGACCAGAAAATAATTTTCCTTTTTTTTCTTCTACATCTATTTTGACCAGATAATAATATAATGGACGAGGAATGGCAGTACACCCGCTTCCAGCCAACGGAGGTGATGTCCCCATACTTGTTTGCCTTCACCGTATCGGAGTTCAAAGCAAAAGACTCGTATCCCCCGGAACGTAGAATCAAGGTATTTCTACAAGTCGACCAAAATATATAATTATCAAAAGTAAGTGCTTTTTTTTTTTTTTTCCTATATCTTCCTATTTAGATTTATGCACGCCCTGATGCCATAGAAGCCGGACACACGGCTTATGCAGATAGTATTACTGGCCCGATTATGGACTTCTACCAGGACTACTTTGACATCCGGTACACTCAGAAGCTCGGTAAGAACGCTCCCATCAAACTGATGCAATGTTACCAGAGCTGGAGGATTGTCGTGCATGTTTTTAGTGCACATTCCACATGTAGCTGCCATGATGAAGACATTGTTTTTGTGTGTCTTAGCACCTGTCTCCATTAATTTGACCTCCAAACAATCATGTAATACCAATTTTTTTTAGGGTCAGAATCACCACAAACCATTTGTTTTATTATAATAATACAGTTATTATATAAGAATTGATTACAGAAAACGTCTGCAAAAGATGATGATAAGAAGCCCTGAGCAGCGATCATAAACACAAGTTCACTCAGTACATTCTGCCAACTGCAGTGTTGCTAATATAGGACCTCTAGGATTTAAATATTTGTTGTAGTTCAAAATAGCCTTGTCCCAATACTAAAATATCATTCTCTATTTAGAGATAGAGGAATACTCAGTACCATATTTGATATCTTGGCATTATAGCACGGTGGTGCAGTGGTTAGCGCTTGTACCTCACAGCAAGAAGGTCCTGGGTTTGATTCCACCTCCAGGTTTTCTGTGTGGATTTTGCATGTTCTCCCCGTGTCTACTCCGTTTTCCTCTGGGTGCTCCAGTTTCCCCTAGCACAAAAAATATGTACAATAGGACTGGCATGCACCTTCCGTACTGTGACCTAGCTCCCATCTGTGTGGAGTGACAGACAAATGGCCACGACATTTGTAAAGCGCTTTGTGACTCTGGTCTGTGAAAGGCGCTATATAAATAAAGATGACTTACTTACTTACTTACTACAGAGGACTGTAACTTGTCTTTGGTGTAGATCAGATCGCCCTGCCCGACCTGGGACCGGCAGGGATGGAGAACTGGGGTCTGGTGACGTATCAGGAGGGAGTGCTGCTCTACGAGGAGGGGGTGTCCTCTTACCTGCACAAGGAAGTCATCGCCTATTTGATCGGACATGAGCTGGCACACCAGGTCAGAGGATCACTGTGGACTATGATAAACCACGAGGCGTCTTCCTCATGGTTTATCAACATTTCCTTATTGTCCAACTGTGTCATAGTTCATGTCTCCTTCTTCACCGCTGTAACCTAACCAATGCATTCTTTCAAAACCTCTGTATTGTGTTGGCAAACTAGTACATTCCGCTTGAACCAACTTTTGCAGGTCCTGGAATTACTTTCAACAATAATATTTATCCATGTATCCACAATAATATCGAGTTGAATCCTGCATTATAGAGCATTAGACATTTGAATGGTGAAGACTGGGCATTAACCCATGCAGTTTGACTATAGATCAGTGAACAATACGTATTCAAGGAATTTAATCATTGCTTTTTTTGTAAACTGTTGTGTGATAAGATAAAGGAAGGACCCAAAATACAGCATGCAAAAATAGGGATTTAATTAATGTAGACCAGTGTCTCCCAAAGTGGGGTCCGCGGCCCCCTGGTGGGCCGCGAGGGTACTGCAGGGGGGCCGCGGGAGGTCATAAAAAAATTAAAAAATAATATAATTATTTAATGTTAAATGTATAATGTTTTGTTTGTAATATTAAAATATTTGTGTTCATTATTTGACTTGAATAATCCACTGTAATCATTTTTGTATTACAATGTTTGTAGCAGAGGCTATTTCCCCAAAATAAAATAACCAGAAGAGCCTATTCTTAATGTTGTCTTCTTGGTTATTATTTTGGGGGGCCACGCAGACCTGTCAGATTTTTAAGGGGGCCTCGGTGTTACTGAGTTTGGGAATGGCTGATGTAGACAATGAAATAAAAGTCCAAGATGAAAAGACAAACTCAAAATCCAAACAGAATCAGGAAGAGACAAAGACAAGCAAAGACACTGAGAATGGACCAGCAACAAGAGGAGTAGAGCACAGGTACACATGGACGCACACAGGTACATATTGACACAGGTGAAACACATCAGGGTGGGGCAGACGATCAACCAGGGGAACAGGACAGGAATCAAAACTAAAAACTAAAACCACAAAGAAATTAGTCAAAATAAAACCAAAGTAAAATATCACAAAATCCACACCATGACTCTATGAGATAAAAATGTTAAACACATCTTTAGTCATGGCACTTACTGTTGTCTAGTTTCTTACTGTTAAATTACCAACTTTATCACAAGTTAGCTGTGATCTAAGGGGGGGGTATGGATCAGTCCAAATTCATATAAGGTAAACAAGATTGGTGTCGGACATGAAAACTCTTCAGGAAGAGCACAGTCCCCCCGCCCCCACCCTCCGTGATGGACTCCCCCATCACCTCTGTGGAGTCATTTTAGTTTCCTGGGCACCACCATCACCCAGGACCTCAAGTGGGAGCCGACCATCAGCTCCCTCATCAAGAAGGCCCAGCAGAGGATGTACTTCCTGCGGCAGCTCAGGAAAGCCAAGCTGCCTGCACAGATGTTGGTGCAGTTCTACACGGCCATCATAGAGTCCATCCTCTGCTCCTCCATCACCGTGTGGTTCGCTGGAGCCACAGTCAGGGACAAACAGAGACTACAGCGCATTGCGTGTCACTTTACTGCTGTCACCTTATATTATGTGCACCATGTGCACTTGTATGTTGTATATAGTAATTGTAATAATTCTATTTAAAATTGTATTCCTTAAAAGTGTTTTAAGTGTTTGTGCCGTCTCTACTCTTTACTTCTCTTTCTGACTGTTGCACTGAGCCAAAACCATTTCCAAGTCTGTGACTTCCTGTTACTTACGTGGCAATAAAAATAATTCTGATTCTGATTCTGATGTGTTTCCCGAGCAATGACTCCTCACGTCATTCGACTTCGCAAATCTAACCGAAGCAGCTTTGCAGGTCTGCTTGAAAACAGACATTATGTGTTGGGGGAACAGGATTATTAAAGGCACATGAAGCATCCTGAGAAAAAGCTACAGCACATGATTATGGACATATTTCAGAGTTGTCATGTTTTGTGTCTTGTGTCTTCCAGTGGTTTGGAAACATGGTCACGATGAAGTGGTGGAACGACGTGTGGCTCAACGAGGGCTTTGCCTCTTACCTTTCCTACCTGGCCGTGGAACATGTGGAACCGGGCTTCAAAATGGTAAAAACTTGGTGGTGTGAGGGTGGTTCTCTCTTTTTTATTCATTTTTCTGTAGAGTTGATCTAAAAAAGTGACGGAAGCAAAAAACAATGTGCCTGTAATAACTAGTGATAGAACTGAAAGCTAGAGGAACGAGTTGGACAGACTTGATTAGTTTGATTTGTGTAGTTTGAAAGTTAGGTACCACAGCTTTAATTTAGAACTCCCAGCTTTCAGTTTTGGACATGTTCATTTTTAGCTTTCATAACTTTTATATGTCCTTGTATTTATGAAATTATCTTTTATTTTTTAATTGTGAGTAGATCTACCACTAACTCCGAGAGCAGAGCTAGTACTGATAGTTACCATCGCCTTTGTTGCATTTCAAGTAATATTCACCAGTTGTAGCACTTATTTAGAAGTGAGTAAAGGTAAATTAGTTACTTTTAATAAATCTGGTGAAAAACAAAAATACAGATTTAATTTCAGATTCAGATTTATTCAGATGTTGAATGGGAGCAGTCAAAATCACGGCTCTCTGGACAATCTAGTTTTTCAGAATTCTGGGAGTCTGACCGTAAATTATTCTTGTCTACATTATAATTTAACCATAAACATAAAGATTGTTTGTTATAATCAAACAAATGAAAGCTCATGTCATTTCTATTGTGTGTACTTACTGTGCACTTGTAAATATTGGCTTTTTAAAGAAATTCTATGTTTTTTTTCTTTCATAACTTGTTCGCACCATGATTCAAGAATGTATTTGCCATTTGCAGTAAAACCACATTGGAGGAGACAAAGCAGACAGCTAGTTTGTGACTTCCTCTTACCACATTCACAAAGAAAGTCATTCTGATCGTTATTTGTCTCGTCAGATGGAGGAATTTGTGGCTGTTGAACTCCACACAGCGTTCGAAGCGGATGCCTTGGCCTCGTCGCACCCCCTGAGCCCCCCTGCAGATGAGATCCAGACCAAGGACCAGATCATGGGGATGTTTGACTCGATTACATACAGCAAAGTACGTTTATCTTATGTTCACGTGACGCACTTTTACTTTTGTCCGGTGGAAGTGATACGAGCTGCAGCTGTTTGTGCCGCAGGGGGCCGTGGTGCTCAAGATGCTGGCAGATGTTTTGGGAGAACACATTTTCCACAAAGGGATTAAAGTAAGCCAGATTTACACTGTTTTTGTAGAAGATAGAATACTGGACAGATTATCAACATTTGTAGTATGTGTAGTAGAAATGTACGTAATAAATCTGTTGTTTCTTTACATTGTTCTTTGAGCCAATGGGTTCGATCTAATCTTCACACGAAAGTATAGGTTGAGTGATTGCAGTAAAGGCCGTTTGGAAAACACGTGGGGTTTTTTGTAAACCATCAATTCTCTCAACAAATGTTCTCAATTCAGTGCAGTTAGTTTGTTTAAAGATTAAATTAAAAATGACGTTTGCAGTCACCGTTCAGCTGATTCTAGTTTCATGTTGTGTATGTTTATTATGCAGCTTGTGGCAGGTTAAGTGGAAAAAAAACTCTATAATAAATAAAATAAGAAAATACTATAATACAATAACATAATTATGATAATACTATAATAATAACAATAATAATAATAATACCCTGATAAGACTGTTTCTACTGGTACAACCACTTCTGATACTACTACTACTACTACTACTACTACTACTACCACTAAATATTATGTGAGAGTAAAGGTAAAAGAGAATCTTATTTATGAAATACAGGGAATGCAATTTTAACAAAAGATAAAAATGACAATAGCGTCAAAACTGAATAAGAAAATACTTTCCCGTGAGCAGCGCTGTTGCTCCGTCAAATGTGTATACAGCTCAAGTCAAGTAAGCGATTAAACAGATTTATTTTTGTTTTTGTTAAGTAGCTTGTTTCCTGCAATAATAATCTTGACAAGTGAAGCCTTCAGGCAAAAAGAAAAAGCCAAAAGAGAATGTTGTATAAATCTAAAACATCATGAAGTCATAAACATTGTAATGATGATTATGTTCTGGACAGGTGGAGTTTGACACGCACTCTCTCTGACCGCTGACTCGTGCATGACTCAACCTGCTTTTCACGCCACGGTCCTGATGTGACCTGCTCTCGCAGCTGTGGAGAAATCATGCATTTGTAACAATTACTCAAACCATGGCTGCTTTTGTGTGACAGATTTATCTGGAGAAATTCAGGCTGAAAAACACTGATCCGTACGACCTCTGGGATGCTCTGAAACAGGTAATCAAGACTAAGATTAAAATCCTTTGTTTGTTCCACAGTGAGGACATTTCAGTGTTGCCTCACAAGTTACAGAACAGTAGGAATGAACAAACAACAACAGTATAGAACAAAAAAAACAATACATATACAGCCTGTTTTGTTTTATCAACACAAAGTCAGCTCCAAAGAAGTGGGAAGAAGTTTCACTGCAAAAGATGACAGAATTAAAGACCAAAAAATGCTAAAATTTGGCTAAATATATCTAAATTTGAGCACATTTTGACTGCCTTAAAACAAGATTTGCCAGTGGAACAAGAAAAATGGTCTTGTTTTAAAAAGATACAAGATATTTTTCTCTTGGAATGAGAAAATAAAGCAATAGTTCTTGAATCAAGTCAAAATTGCTTGTCTCATTGGCAAATCTAATTTTAAGACAGTCAGAATGAACTTAAGTCAAGTTAAAAAAACTCGATTCTAGCAATTATGATCTCATATTTGATCATTTTTTGCAGTGTTTAAACTCCCACAAACTATTTTTATTCTAATTTAATTTAATTATGTGAGAGTGGGAACAATGACATTCACAATAATTTTCTCTTGATTTATGCAGTGTATGTATATATTATATTCTTAATACCTTATATGCCTCACAGTATCACATAAGTATCACAGCCTTTACTGATCATAACGTCATCATCATCACCAAATATCCATATAATATTAATATGTATTATTTTCTTTATCATGTATATTTTACACATAATTAAACAGGATTATGAAATATTGTATATTTAATATTTGATATAATAATTACTTATGTTCTGAGTGAGTTACATTTGATCATTGGTGCTGATGGGAGCAGGCTTTTATATAGATGTGCTGTGTGCTCCTCATTCCACACCAAGATAAATGTATAATAACTCTATACCAAAAAGGAATACAATAGAATAAAATCTCTAACTTTAGCATAAAAAGAAGCAGTATACCGTCATGTGATGAAGTGAATGAAGACCCAAAATTGCAGGAATGCCAAAAATAAGGGTTTAATGATAATAAAATAAAGTCCAGATGAAACCAACTCCAAATACAGGAACAGGACAGAGACAGAGACAGAGACAGAGACAGAGACAGAGACAGAGACAGGACGTTGACAAGACAATGGACCAGCACAAGGGGAGAGGAGCACAGGGTACAAATAGACACAGACACAGGTGAAACACATCAGGGCGGGGCATACAATCAAGACAGGGGAACCAGGACAGGAAGTCAAACTAAAACTAATTCACAGATAACAAACGTCAAAATAAAACAAAAATACAAACATAAAATCCACACCATAACATATACAATCTCTATCTCTAGTAATACTTCTGATGTGACATTTACGGTAGTAGATGCAAAAGAATATTGTGAATAATGCTGGGTTCGTTCTCAGTCCCAGAGTGAGTATGGTGGTCACGTGGACATTGAGAAGATGATGGACACATGGACCAATCAGATCGGCTTTCCCGTCATTACCATCAACACCACCAGCGGAGAGGCCGAGCAGAGGCAGTTCTTGTTCAATGACACAACTGAATCAAAGTATACACACTCAATCATCATGGAAATAAAGTTTTTGAGTTGTTGAGTTGAGTACCTTTACTATGACGACAACATAACTCATTGTTTTGTGTTTAGTCTTTTATGGCAAATCCCTGTTCGAGTGACATCTGGCTCTCGTCGCTCAGCGCTGGAGTGGATATTCACCAAAACGGGTATCCGCTGCATACATCATAAATATCAAGTCAAACACTAACATTTCTTCTTTTGTATTATATTCTAACAGTCAGCAAGGACTCATTCATATCAAAGAAAGGGGAGTGGATTTTGGCCAATGTGAACTGTACTGGATACTACAGGGTGAATTATGATCTCGCAAACTGGGCTCGCCTGATGAACGAGATGGAGAACAACCCAGAAGTGAGTGTGGACTTTCAAACTCTCACAAATGCAAAATGAAATCGTTTTATAAATACATATACTCTGGCAAAACATAGATTTTGATTTTTTGATGGTTGAAAAGGACAGGTCAAGAGCAGTTTTTAGTTTAGTTTACTAATATTTCTTAGATCATTAGTCAACCAGAAACAAGGACATTTGTGAGTTATTATATAGCGCATTTTACAGACCAAGATCACCCAAAGCACTGTACAAATAAAATGAATAAAATCGGCAAGACATTTCTTTTCATTTTCCTTTCTTTACTCTGGGCAAGTCTTTCCACAATAATATTACAACCATACACATATACAAGTATAAACACACACATCTACTCAGGTAGATGCATTTTGCTAATTTTCTCTATTTATTTACTTGACAAGGAGGATTAAATAGACTCCGGAAATACATTCTTGTTGTCTTCTGTTCTAATCCTCCAAAATATTTCTTTTTAATTTAACAGCCTGATTCTTTCCCCAGACAATCCCTTTGCTAAACAGGGGGCAACTTATCGACGATGCTTTCAACTTGGCAAGGTATGAGTACTGAGCTTGCTTTACAGTGTATTCACATAAATAAATTCACAAATACTGTATATTTGGACTGATTCGGACCTTATTAAAGGGGGGACTTTTATGGTTTGTCTGTGTCTGCAGAGCGAATCTGGTCAGTGTGCCTCTGGCCCTGAACTCCACCCGCTTCCTGTCCAATGAAAGGGAATACATACCGTGGCGTTTTGCTGTGGAAAACCTCAAGTACTTCTTCCTGATGTTTGACCGGTCCGAGGTGTACGGGCCCATGCGGGTGCGTACTGTGATTATCAATGGTAGAATATGATTTGATTGATTATAGGTCCATTAACTACAGTACAATGTCCACAATATTTATGACTTTCAACCACATTATCCAATCAGAGAATGTGTCTTTCATTTATGCTGACAGTGTCTTAGGTGGATTTTAATTGTAACGACTGTACTAACCCGATAAGTGTGAAAACTACATTTATTTTATTTAATCTATTGTGTGTGATAAGGGTCGACAATGGTAAATTACTTATCGCACATCCATCACATTTCGTAATTTATTTTAATATTTTTTATGTCATATGGGTGACATAAAAAATATACAGCTATAGAAATAGTCTTCATCCATTGTTTTTATTTTATTTTATGTATTTTGATTTGTTTGTTTGTGTCTTTATTTATTTTGTATTTAGTTTTACTACTACTATTACTAAATTACTATTATTATTTATATTTTTTTCTTTTTGCGCAATAGTGAGAAAAAAGGATGAAAAACAATAAAAAGTGTCTTGTTATGCTGCACAGTATGTAACATGAAAAAGTGTGAACAAATTAAGATGACATAAAAAAGTAACACAAAAAGGTTAAATTACCATAAAATGAATTACGTCACTGTTTTACTTTACTTATTAATTATTATTCTTTTGCAGAAATATCTTCAAAGTCAAGTCACTGGGCTTTACAATCACTTCAAAAACTACACAGACAATTCAACTGTCCCTGAAGAAAACCACGCCGCACAGTAAGGAAGAGCTTTCTCAACCCGTGTCTTATAATAATAGTTTTAAGTGGATAAAAGTTAGATGGATTCAAAGTTTGGAATGTTGCATTTTCACACAGGGAGCTAACAAACTTTATATCTACAGGAGCAACCAGGAGCTGGCCGTGCGACTGGCCTGTTCCACCGGTCTCCCTGCCTGTGTGGACATGGCCAAGGACTTGTTCCATTTCTGGATGACCAATAACACTAACAAGTAAGATTTTTGTTTTTATCATTTTTTTATTTTTATTGAAGGACAATGAATATCAAGACAAATAACAGAAATATGAGCATAACAAAAAAACAGCAAGGGCAGACAAGGGACAACAAAGACACCAAAGAAAAAATAAATAATAATCTAATAATCAGAATTTATTTCCAAATATAAGGCATCAAGACTTTTTTTTACCACTTTTTTGATGCTTTCATTTTTCTTTTTCTGCTTCAACTGAGCAAGTATTATGTTCAATACATAAGACATACGTTTCAGCAAACAAGGGAATAGAATTATGACATTCCCAGCATTATTTTTAAATGAGAAACAAGGATCAAACCCCATATTAAGTCATATTTATTTCTATACTGCTTAAACACAGACCAGGATTACAAATGCTTAACATTTTGATATCAACATAAGCATCTTGTTCTGAAATATATGGCCATACACCTTTTGTAGGATCCACCCAAACTTGCGCTCCATCATCTACTGCCAGGCCTTGGAGTCTGGGGGCCTGAAGGAGTGGGAGTTTGCCTGGAACAAGTACCAGAGCTCCAGCGACACGGCCGAGAAGGAGCAGCTGAGGGAGGCCCTGACCTGCACCAAGAAGATCTGGCTCCTCAACAGGTCACACTGGTTTCATCACATTAAAGGGCATCTACCTGATTTGTACTGCTGGGGGTATTCAAACCTTTTGTGGCTGTCCAAAGTTATTCTACCTTCCTAAAATCGTAAGAGCAGAAGTTTTTTTTCAAGAAACCACTGTGAGTCAGAGCGACACTATCATGAATCGTTGCCGTTGGACTTCCGGTATCATTAGCAATAAATACCCTAGTACAAATAAAAAAATAAAATAAAATAAATTAATGATTTTTATAATGTCACAATCTGGTTTAACAATATTTGCTCAAATACTACAACATTTTACAAAATATTGAGTTGTATTCGTACTAGTTTATCAACATAGACATGAAGAGTTCCATTGCCATTGCGTGTAAAACTAATCCCCAGATACCTCCGCAGATTATTGGACTACACCTTGGACCCTGACAAGTTCCGCTTGATGGATGTGTCCTCAGTCATTGCCTCAGTCGCCCAGAACGAAGCTGGACACGCCCTGGCATGGAACTTCATCAGAGCCCATTGGGACTACGTCAGCCAACTGTACGTAACTGTAAACGATTGTGTTATTTTTGTATAGCCCTAAATCCCAACAGTAGTTATCTCGGAGGACTTTACAAAAACACACATCGGAGAATCAAACCGTTCATACAAAATAAATTCAAAGATAGATAACACATAGAGCCATTGGTCCATAAGGGGCAGGTGACTAATGTCCATAAATGTTGATAAAGTTTATAAATTATGTTGAATGTCGAGTGTCCTGGATCATTACCATCATGTCCTTAGACTCCCCTGCATCGGAAAGGAAAAACAAACAAAAAACAGAGAAAAGTGAGAAAACTCGAGAGATGGATCTGCTCCCACGCCTATAAATCCAGATTTATGAAGTGAAAATGGGAATATACTGTAGGAACATGAGGGATTGGCCTTATTTGAAGCATAGATCCTGATCAATTCTAGTTTAGTCTCATCGCTCTGGTTTGGTCTTGTTGCATTGGTATCACACAGAAAGATGTGGTGTGCTTGTACGGCCCTGAAATAGAATTAGGGAAACCCAGATAGTTGCGCTTTTTATTTCCCAAAGTCTTTATAATGTTCCGTAAATACAGCTCAGAAACCCCAGCCATGACGTGAGCAGTTTGGTCAGTTTGAGTCAATAATACACAGTTATTTATATTTAGGGAAAATTACATGCAGTGATAGAGGAGGCCACAACATGTGCAGGGTGGAGGGACTGCAAACAAGTCCACAAGTCAAACACCGCAGATTGTAAAAAATGAAAATACATTTAATGCATGTCATAAACTATACACTTTTACATTAAGAGGCCCTTTTCTTTGTTTAACCCTCACTGATATGAGTGGTGCCCCCAACAGGGAAGAGAGGGTTCCAATGTGATAAGGGAATCTTGTTATGAAAGCTGTAACGACACATTTTGATTCATATTTCGGAATCATTTCACAAGTATCTTATTTCTGTGAATGAACTCATAAGAAAGCTTTTTAAGAGAGGGTCTGACCAATACAAGATTCTTTAATTCAACGTAAAATGTGAAACTAATTTGATATTGACCTATTACATACAAAGTAATGTGTGTCAGGCCGTCAGATTAGATTAGACTTTATTGTCATTAAAAAGTCAGAACAAGTCAGAACAAGAACAACAAGAAAAGGCAGAGAGCTACTCATTTTTGCAGTCGTAATACAAATCTCTTAAGAATTACGACAAAACATGGAGAACACATGTAACATATACCATAATACTGTATAACCCTATATGCATACTTATAACACTGTGTAACAAAAAAATATTTTTTGAAAATAGTTTCCAGCTGAATTAGACTAATTTTGATGCTGAGTCCGAAAATGACCTTGGTGTTGCTCAATCAGGTCAGGATTTTTAGCTACAAAAATATTTTTTTAAATCAATTTTGAGTAAAAAACAAATTTCTGCGGATCATCAGCTGAGAAACCCTTGACGTTTTTTCCGTTTTCCTCAAGAAATAAAAGTCAACGTATCCAAAGTCATTCAGTTTTTATTTACTCCATCAAATTTGATAAGCAGAATTCATAATAACGTAGACGTACATAATCTGTAACACTATGGCTGTATCTCAAAAAGTTGACCTGACTCAAAACACCAAAATTAGTCTAAATCAGTTGAGAAGCCCCTGACCATTTTTTGGTTGTCAACTTGTGTAATAGATATATAATGACTCAAAATTTATTCATTCAAGATCATTTGTTAAATTCTAAATCCTGAGCTACCTGAAAGGGGCTGGCGAGCCACTGGTAGCTCCCGAGCCACAGGTTGGAGACCCCTGATCTAACCAGTTGTGCAACGGTGCAAGTATAGAATCATATTTACACCACAGATACTGTAAACATATTTGTATATATCTGAAACTGCACGAAGCTGCTATTGCTAGTATATATATTAAATCTATTACATTAGATTGAAGTGCATATAATGGGGTTAATCAGGGTGAGAGTTCTTATAATGTTGATGATTATGGCTTACAGTCTACTTTCAACATATGTTTTGTACAAGCTGTGAGCCAATTATCAACAATATAACAAATAAATGCTTGATATCTCACTTTGCGTCTAATACATCTGCCATATATTAGTTTCACATTATAAGTTGAATTATAGGACTTTTGAACCATATTTTATATTGCTTCACCTGTGTTGTTGTTGTGTCCTTGGGCAAGACCTGCCTCGCCCACGGCATGTAGACTTAATGCATTTGTCGTGGTGCAGAAAAGTGCTTCATTATCTGCTATTTTTATCTCTTTAATTATTTTTCTCTTGTGAATCAGTGCAGAATTATCTTCATTATCAATTGTGGCGTCACAGAGATTGATTTAACCATTCCAGAGTAATAAAATCCAGACTGGGATGAGCTGTCCAAAGGGCTGTTGTAAAATCTAAGCTTGTAATTAACAGCTTTATGAAGTTCTAATCTCTCCCGTTTCCAGGAAATCACAGTTTACGCAACACAGTTAACACAACCAACATATTAATCCACGTCCACCATGAAGGCAGCTGTGTCAACAATACTTAACTGGGCAATAATCAGTGTTTCTTTAGGCTTCTGCTTGATTAAAGTAATCTATTGTAAATGTACCAATTCTAAAATGTCATGCAACTCTTATGAAGTTTTTAATGTACAAATATTCTGTTGGGACAGGCACGCTCAGTATCTGATTGAAAAAGTGACTTACAGATTCTCCACAACGTTTGAACTGGAGGAGGTAAGTGTGTCCTCATTCTTGCTTTTTTGTTGGTATGGTTCATAATCACAACAGCTGCTATCTCAAAGGGCGTGGTAAAGTTACGGGATCTTCTGTGTTGGAGCCATTGGAGATTTCTGTCTACACTATTAGTCATAAACACACCCTGATAAAACATAGTATCAGCTTTTGTAACTTGGACAGCATCTTTGTGTGGTTAGAAAAGCAATATATTAAAGAAAATGATAGCACCAAAGAATAGTTAAGTATTTATTTTAAAAGGAGTAAAAAACAGTAAATCCCAATGAGTAGCACTCAGAAAAAGATGTACAAAGTCACCTGTTTTATCCATCATTGATTCATACATAGTGCACAGTTCTCTGCAGTACCCCAACATCTCTATATGTAAATATGTTGTGTAAACATACTTTTGTGTGCATAAGAAGAGCTAACATTCATGTGTGAGTACATGTAGAAACATATGTTTTGTCTGTCTGCCTCATCTCGACCATGGACTGTAAATATTAAAACAAGTTTGACATATCTTTGAATAACTTTTTCTTTATGATTACAGCTGAAACTTTTTTCCTCTAAATATGACTTGGGTTCTGCGTCTGCAGCAGTACAAAATGCTATTGAGCAGACGAAGGTGAACATCCAGTGGGTCAACAACCACAAGGACGTCATCCTGGACTGGTTCCTGACAGAGACCAGATAACTCTTTGTTTGTCGTACACAAACCCAAACTAAAGCAGGACTAAAGAACCAAACCAAGTCAGCCCTTAAACATGGCTGGACTCACCAAAAAATTGTATATTTGTTTACAAATCTAGATTGTATTTGTTACCCCAAATAATGTTTATTTTGTTTGTCTACCTTATTTATGCAATTCACCTTTACAATGTTTAAAATGTGAAATAACTTTGTTAAATTGTTATTGTCTTTAATATAGCTTTGAAAGGGACACTGCAAAAATCTTATTATGTCAACTGTGGGAGAACATGAAATAAAGTTAAAACCATTGAAACACAAAAGAGACAGAGTTGTGGCATGTAAACTGTATGCTTTCCCATCTCCTTCAATGCTTTCAAAATCCTCAGATTAAAATTATTTTTGGGCCAAAACATTACGCAGTGATGCTTCAATTTGTTGTGTGTATTTACCCCAAACTATTATCTGGGTTATTGTCTTTTATATAATGTTTTTTTTTTTTTAAATGTATATACACCGTAAAAATACCATTTATTGATTTGTATCCATCGACAAAACACAAAGAATACTCTTTGGTATGATAACATCCAACACAATCATAAAACACACGAATGACCTGAAAAAACCATATTTTAAAAAAGTATTGAAAAGATTAACAAATGAGGTTTGCTCCCACTCGCCACTGGGGCGCATTGACGAGTGGGAGGTTGTTCCAGATGGGATGGGCTTTGGTCCAGGGTGAAGCGGTTTGAGTCTGATCTGAAGCCAAGGACAGATTCTTCAATCGTCCTGAGGAACGGACAGACGTTGGTTTGTTAAGGACCTTTAGGAACAAGTAATAATAGAGCTCTACACAGTATTTGCTCTCCTTTATTAAAGATTTTAACTTTGAGGCCGTCCTACAGTATGTGCCACGGCTCAGGAGCAGGGGGGTTCAGTGCAAATGATAAAAAGGTTATGCACAATATGTTGTTTTTTCATGCGTGTGTTCTGAACTCACCCACTCCTCATCCTCTGCTCCTCCGGCCTTCCCACTGTCTGCTGAAGTTTTATTGGCCATTATCTTATCAGTCCATGAGGCTCCAGCATTTTCATCACCAGCAAAGTTGCATTTTGTTACAGTGCCACAATCTATTTTTGCCAAAGAGACTAAAAAAACACACACAATTTGAATGTTACAATTACAGTATATTTAAAAGTATTCTACTAACAATTAAAAACATACAAAAGTGTAGCACTTACATATAAAAGGACTGTTGCCTTTAGTTTTGAGGCGTATTTCTTGTCCAGTCTCAAGCTCTGTCTTGTTCATTTCACACTCTGGGTACCAAAAGGCCCAAGATCCACTAGGTTTGTGATTGTCTGTGATTTTTATGAGTTCACTTTTATTGACTAATGTGGAAAGGTCCTTCTCTGAAAGACGATCTGTTACACCTTTGGCTTCAACCTCTATACACACGGGAAAAGACAGTAAAGATATTTTATTAGCTGGGCCTCCACCGTCTACTCTCACAGAGTTTAATGATTTATATTATATATGAAGTATATTGTATATGGGATTGATAACTGAATCATATGTAAGGCCATTCATAATGCGATTTCAGTAAATGCTGTACACTCACTGTAAGAGGACATGAGGTGGCCTGTATTGACCTTTTTAGAGTCACTAAAGTTTGGCTCGATCTCCAAGCCTTTGGCGTCAAACTTCCTCTGGTGGATACAGCTGGGCTGGACGTACAGCACATAAAAGCGATTCTGCAAAATAAAACCCAGCTTCCATGTTTCAGGTTCATCAACTCACTCCATTGTTTTTACTCTTAAACATTGAAGTAGTCATTTATTTTCTATTTAAACACATATATTTGTCTTTAAAAGGTGACCATAATTGAAAATAATTTACCTTTTGATTGTTAACATCAGTAATTGTGTGTCTGGAGACATCCAGCAGCTTCCCTTCCAAAAGAACTCCATTTCCACTGTCAATGAAACATCTGGTCAACTCAAGAGTCCTTGTAATTTCCTTTTTGTTTTCATATATGAGTGAGTCTGCAACTGTACTGTAACTGTAACATTTGAACAACAAACAGTATATAACAGGTTTCCTTGACTTCACTAGTGGTTCTCAAACTTTTCATATAGTACCATATGCAGTTTCTCCTGCTTTATATGTTGCTGTGCTGTAGAGGCAGCTGTCTAACCAGAGGCGCCCAGACTCCAGCTCACCCCCAAGGAATCCCAAAGCCTTTCCAGTTAGTCCCTCTCAGTGTGTCCTGGCTTTTCCTGGTGGAACATGCCGGGAACACTTCCCCAAGGAAGGATACCTGGGCCATACCCACCTTAAGTGGCTCCTGTTGACCTGGAGGAGCAGCATCTCTACTCTGAACTCCTCCAATGTAACTGAGCTACTCACCCTATCTCGCAAAGCCCAATGGATCTACAGAGGAAATTAATTGTTTGCTCGTTTCCCCTGATCTTGTCCTTTTGGTCATTACCCAAAACCCATGACCATAGCTGAGGATGTGAACTTAGGCCCAGAATCCTGGACTTGAGGAAAACACATGTCCTTTTGAGACCTAAGCTGAGTTTCATCCCATCCCTGCCACTCCTTTCTAAGCGTCTTCAGCTGCAGACTGTCCCAGACTCCCAGTGCATGTTGGAGGTCCTGATTTGATTAACAGATGAAATCCTGTGGTTCCCATAAAGTACCACCTAAAACAACAGCTTGCCTCCCAACTACCACCATATTTAAATATTTAGGATTTTAAGTTTGTGTCTTGCGTACACCTTGTCTAATCCATGTTACTGGGATAAACAAGTCCATACACGTACCACTGTTTGAGAAACACTGATTTGTTATGCTTCATTTCTTGTTTTGTTGCACACGTCGCGTTGTCTTGTATATTCAACTGTGCTATACAAATAAACGTACCTTGGCCCGATAGCTGTTTTTATTTGCAGCAACGCATAGAGAATTGGTTGGAGCTGTAACTATGATCAGAACACAATAGACTGAGATGGAACTTTGTGACGTCTCACTTTAAGGCAGTACACCTATGGATCTACACCTGGCATATTCTGCTTAGATCTCACACTACCTTTCGTACGAGGACGGCGACCAGACGCCATCAAAACACTCGTTGTGAACCGGCTTGTTCTGTAATGACGTGTCGTGATAGATCCGGCTCATTTCTCCAAAAAGTTGAATAACAATTTCCTAGGATTTCGCTGCTACAGTGTAAACTTCCTCTTCCTACTGTAGCGTCGAGGCTGAGGCGCGCTCGTTTTGTTTCACTGGAGGAGCCGGTTGGGGAGAAATGCTCTTAAAGTGGAATCGATTATGTACTTGTTTACATATTCCCATGTGGTTGTTGACATGAAATAATAATTGGCTGTTATTGCAAAAATGCGATCAACAAATGTCCGACTGCATACTGCATTTTCTTTATACAAAAATTATAATAAATGTAATGATACATTTTATGTCTTTGGTGCCTTTCTAGATCCTCAAGGTCGCCTTACATCACAAGTAAAAAGTACATTTAGTTAAAATATAGTTTAAAATAAAAAGCAGCATGAACAGAAGATTGTGTGGTTATGTTAGTGAGTAGGCTTGTCTAAATTAAACAAGGCTCATACTATTTTTTCTGCTATGGCGATTCTTAGTCCAGTGGTCTAGTGCAGTCCACAACAGTTTGAGACTCAGTGCAGTTCAGGGCTGCACTGTTAGGGGATGTTTTCACAGGCCTCATCTTATGGATCTGTTTCCAAGACATAATACACAAACACAAATATTGTTATTGGACAAATGCAGCAACAGTTTTGATCAAAGATGTCGTCCTGTGTTCGACCTTGTATCAATGTGGAATTAAGAGTGGCATTCTTAGGAAATGATTGGTCCCCATCGTCCCCTTCTACTTTCAGGGACGTCGAGCTGCTGTTGGCTGTAAGGAAAAAGAAAGCACCTTGATTTATAGACTGTTCAAAACTTTTTCTTTTTTTTAAATTAAAGACAAAAAAACAGACCCACACAACAACATTCAACAAGAACACAAAACACAAAAGTACAATCCCCAACAGAGCAAACCAGACAGAAAAAAAACACATTTAAAAAATAAATAAACGTATAGAGCGTACATGAAATTCTGCAAAACATACACCCTCGTTCCTCATTTATTTATTTCTTCTCCCCACACACATCCTCCCTTCATAAACATATAAATGATATATATATTTATACAAGCATAGATCAACACTTTTTTCTTTTCAAAACAAACATCAACTGTCTTTACATTGAGAGTAGCGTCCAAGTTGGATTTTGAGCCAGATGTTGCGTCTCTGAATCCAGCTGCCAGGAGCCTCAACTTCATAAATAACATCTCTGTGCTCTTTGCGTTGAATTAGAAACTTTTTGCACACTGAAACATAACAGACCACCGTTTACATCCCGGTAAAGACAACACTATGCACTTGTCATGAGTGTAATACCTGCCACCATGCCGACTGAGAGAGGTGCACTGACTCCCAGCAGCTCTTCATTCGGGAACGTTTCACAGAAGTCTCCCAGCATGAGCAAAGCAAAGCCTCTTCTTCTCCAGTCGGGCCTCACATAGATAGTGTCCAGGACGGGAAGCTCGTAACATTGGCTGAGGCAGTTATCAGACAAACTGCCTGAAAACACATGCAACAGTTCAATAAGGAAATATCTTTGTGTGAATAAGCAGAAAGAAAATGAGTACAGAAATAAACTATTGATCTCACAATGAAGAAATGACATAGAAAGGATCACTCAGGAGGTGCTAAAAGACAGGAAGGGTGCAAACAAGTTAAAAGGTTAAAATATACTCTCTTTTGTGCAGGATATATCATGTAGAATAAAAATTAGAACTGACTATAGCAGTGCGAATTCTAGTGCAGGTCATGGAATTGACTTTTTGTACAGTCTGACAGCAGTGGGGATGAAAAATATGTGTGGTAATGTGTAGGTTATTCTGTAATATGTAATTTCATAATTTTAACTTAATAATTATCTTAACTGTTTATAAAAGTAGCTGTTTATTTGTAATGTAAACAGGGAAAAAAAGGCAGAAATCTCCAACTCCAAGGTATTATTATTATTTACTGTGTGTAGTGAAGATTGCCACCTCAAATAAAACTTTATTTATATTGAATTAATCTGTATGCGTTTCAAACAAAATATATCAGAGGATCTTTGCCGCTCTTTGCACACTCACTCACTCATTTGCAGCATATTTACCTTTCGGCTTGAAGCTGTAGAAGCCCACTGCCTCTCCATGCACCCACAGCAGTTTGCAGATCTCGTTGGAGCAATGATTCGAAAAAAGTTGTGCCTCCTCAAGAAATCTGTCCACCAGCTGACTGAGCACGAGCACGAGGACTCGCTCTATCGTGGACTTCACCTGTGACGCGTTTTTGAGGATTACATTCACTTCCGACATTTCTTTATTACATATACTGTATGTATTTCATAGGGTCAAACTTTCGGGTTTACCATTTCCAAGCCGTTTCTAGATTTGTTTGTTGATCGTAACACATCATTTATATGGCACCACTTTCCGAATAGATGCAAAGCGACGACTACAACATAACACACACACACACACACACACGCACATACATTGTCTTGTTATGTATATGTTATTTTGTACAGTGTATAGCATCATTGTACCTTGTTGGGGTTCACCAGGCAGATGAAGAGTCCACACCATGAAGTCAGGTTTGTCATTAAAAACCTGCAGCTGTTTTATGTTGTTTGCTGTTATTGCAACCTAAAGCAACACATTCTCAGACATTGACAGGACTCTCAGAATTCTGAAACTACTAGACCTCCCAGAACCGTCTTTTTGACTGCTCCTGTAAAAAAAACTAATAATATTCAGAGAAATTCCCCCATTGAATGTTTAGTTTTTCACCAGATTCATTAAAAGAAAGTCATTTATCAGATTTTTAATATGTTTTATCCAGTGCTAAAAAAGGCTAATGCTAACTTCTGACTGTAAAAAAATGACATAAAAATAAACAACACAAAAACACAGAAAAAGTCACAAAGTTATGAAGACTAAGAATGTGCAAGAGATGAGTGATTACACTTCAGAAACTAAAAGCCGTCAAATTGACTGCTCTGGGAGTTCTAGTGTTAACCAACATTGCTTTTCATCACATCATATTTAAAGCCTCGCGTTTGTTAGATTTAGGGTGTTTACCTCGGGTTGTATAGAAGTATAAAACCAATCCCCATGAGCTGGATCTGAGTCTATAGACGAGAGGCACTTGACGGATGCTGAGGTGAGCTGCTCGTTGGCATCTTCTGATAACACGTCTACAGGATACATGGCCTGAGGGGGAAATGTTTATAGCAGAACATGAAATAATGGACCTCACATAGGCCAACCTGGAAAGCTTTAGCTTGCATTAAAGCCTTTGCATTTGGGTACTCAAATTCCAAATCACAAATATGTATGTGTAACATGAATACATAGATAATAATTCCTATAGCTCTCTGAACAGTTTGGTTATACCACATTTAAAATCTCTGTCACATCTTTAGATCAGCATTTTCAGACAGAAAAACATGAAAAAGAGGACCACCCTCAGCTTTTAGCCCTAAACGTCAAATAGTGACTCACAGGGCTTTTTCTTACAAGTATGCAACATGGATGACAGTATGTTTGGTCTGATTTTTTCACTACATTGTACTTTGGCAAGACTCGTGCTGTTGAGACAAACACAACGTTTTGTTGCGAAAGAATAAAAGTTAGGTACCCCAGCTTTAAAGATCAATTACAATACACATTTGTTTGGCATGTTTTTCTGTTGTTGCCAGTGTGTTACGAGACGTCCTAGTTTTATAATGGTTACGTATTTCATTGGGCGAAACAGGAAAATAACATGTAACAACCATAGACTGTAGTAAGAGCAGCAGGAGCAGCCGCAGTCCTCAGGAACACTTCCTGCAGCTAAAGTCACCTGGAGAAGTGAACGCGGCGCATAAAGAATAAGGTACGTGTTTGATCCAAGATTAAGATGTGGATAGTCGCAAAGCAGCGTGATCAACAACAGGTAAACATCAGGAGGCCGACGTGGACTTGAAACTCCTCACTCACGTCACTAGTTATCTACAGTCTGTGCTACCGAGTCTAAACTATAGAGAGCGACATTGTTCTCCTTCTAGGTTGCGGCGCCCTCTACCGGTCAAATTGAGTATCTCGACGTTCAAGAAAAACAAATATTTTTTATTCTTTATTTTACTAAAACTAACATTTATCTCGCTACTTAGTTTACAGTATCATCCACCCCTTTATCTTATTTGGGTCGAGATATTGCTTTTCCCCTTTTTTTATTTCATTATTGTGGCACTTCCGGGTGTCTGCTTTTGTAAATGGGTTGGTAGCACAACTACTAACTTGATTATTTACAGTTCAGTTTACCTAGCTTTGACGGGTCTTTAAGCTCTGTCAAGTATGTGGCTGAGGAGGGGTCTTTGCACGTTTTCAAGACCACTCAGTGCATTTCAGTGTCGTGCAGTCAACTCCTGGGGCTACTCAAGGGTAAGTGACTTAACAATACTGCAGTCACCCTGTAAGGCTAATCAAGGACATCATTTAGTGTTAGCTGATCAACAGAATAATGCAGTTATTCGATCATTCGAGCAGATGCAACTGCCTGATGATATTGTCCCAGTGGTGTCCTGGGACCATGGATCTATTAGCCAGGGTGTGTGGTTGTGTGCGTGTATGTAAATATGCACCAGGACCTAATTAAGGATGGCACATTACCAAAGTACGAGGCGTCATATAGTTCTCTGTGTCCAGGCTTTGGGTGTGGAGAGTATCTTATCTCAGATCAAGGCCATCTGTGGTGAGGAAGGTGTCTCTGTGGGGGAGGCAGTGAGGGAGCAGCATGGCAGAGACGAGTCCATGCACAGGTCAGTGACAGAATCAAGCCCAATGGTGACATGTTTACTTTTGCATGACATAACGAAAACATAGACCAGGGGTATGTCACTCGGCCTTCAAAACGCAGTGTGGCTGCAGGTTTTCATTCCAACCAAGCAGGGGCACACCAGACTCCACCCATTTCCTCTAGTTGTCAGGTTAAGGAAATGGAAATGGGTGGAGTGTGCTGTGTTCCTGCTTGGTTGGAATGAAAACCTTCAACCACACATCACTTTTGAGGACTGAGTTGAATACCCCTGGCATAGACTGTGAAAAGTCCAAGGACAATGTTAACTAAAAGTTGTGGTGTTTGCAGTTGTTGTCCTCCAGATGTTGTGGTGTTTCCCTGCTGTGTGGAGGAGGTCAGTGCCTTGGCTAAACTCTGTTTTTCCAACAATACACCCATGTTGCCTTTTGGAACAGGCACTGGTCTGGAGGGAGGAGTCGGGGCAGTAGAGGTATGAAATCTAAAAGTGTCATGTTGTCTATGGACACACATTTGTATATTCATAGTGTGTTTTTTGTGTGTAGGGTGGAGTTTGCTTCAGTTTAAGAAGAATGGACCAAATCTTAGATCTGCACAGCGAAGACTTTGATGTGACAGTTGAGCCTGGTGTGACACGGAAAACCCTCAACACATATTTGCGAGACACAGGCCTCTGGTTTCCAGTCGGTCAGTTTCAACAATTTCATTCAATTTTTTTGTTTCCTGGGGATTGTGCATACACGTACACATAATGTTATGCTAACAGGATCTTCTTCTTTTGACTGCAGATCCAGGGGCAGATGCCTCTCTGTGTGGAATGGCTGCCACCAGTGCATCTGGTACAAATGCAGTTCGTTATGGCACTATGAGAGAGAATGTACTGAACCTGGAGGTGGTGCTGGCTGATGGGACCGTCATACACACTGGAGGGAAAGGACGTAGACCCAGGTGGTGATGTGAACTCTGTTATTGCTGCATATAAAGCTTTTACACGCTTCTCTGAGACTGTGTACATGCACAGAAAGACAGCGGCTGGGTACAACCTGACAAACCTGTTTGTTGGCTCGGAGGGCACTCTTGGAATCATCACCAAGACAACTCTTCGTTTGTATGGGATCCCAGAAGCCATGGTGTCCGCTGTGTGCAACTTTCCATCTGTCCAGGCTGCAGTGGACAGCACTGTGCAGATCCTACAGACAGGAGTACCTATTGCACGCATTGGTAAGTTAATAAACACTTTTCAGTTCTGTCATTGACTTTTTTGTCCTAACAATAACACTAGCCCAAAATGATCTTCTAAATCTAGTGCCTGGTGTTTGTTGAAAATGTTTACCTCCCTATCTTCTTTTCTATACCAGAGTTTCTGGATGATGTAATGATTGATGCCTGTAACCGCTACAGTTCTCTGTCCTACCCTGTGAGCCCCACTCTCTTCCTGGAGTTTCATGGCTCTGAGAACAGTTTGAAGGAGCAGGTCTCAGTAACAGGTGAGCCCCGAATTAACTCATGCTCCCAATAGTGAATGTTATAAACTCGAATGTAATCTTTAAATGTTTTATTGTAAAATAAAAGTAATATGTGTGTTGCATAGAGGAAATAACCCAGAATAATGGGGGATCAAACTTTCAATGGGCTCAGGATGCAGAAACCCGTAACCGTCTTTGGGCCGCGCGCCACAACGCCTGGTATGCTGCGCTGGCACTCAGGCCGGGCTGCAAGGTAAAGTCATTTCAAACTGGCAACTCCCATTCTTTCAGTTCTGTAGTTTGTGTTTGTTTAATTTAATAACACAGCACACTTCTTCTATTTCACTTCTTCTATACAGCTTGTTTTTTCTAGTTATTTTGTGCCTCACTTAATTCTAAATTGAACACTGTTTAATGATGTGCCTGTTGTTTCCCCTTATCTCTCCCTGCTTCAGGCTTACTCCACCGATGTGTGTGTCCCTCTATCTCAGCTGCCTCAGATTATTGTGGAAACAAAAGAGGATCTTATTAAGAACAACTTGACAGGTGGGAACATCACTAAACTTGGGTTAATTTAGTTTGTATTTAATGCAATATTGCAGCTTATCTGTGCTTTAACCACTGCACCTACACATTAGTTCCATATGCTGTGTTTTCCCACTTGCTTAGGTAAGGTACAGTACTTTTGAGACTATTGAGAGCAGCTGTGTTTACATTTTAAAATAAAGTACTTATATATCCCACTTTTTAATATAAGCCACATGTTTTCATGCTTCAATGTAACACTAAACCAACTGCTGATGGAGAAAAACAAAGCCGATGGACGATGAGGTATTGTACTGTTGACTCGTGATGATCGAAGCACTCTGTATTTTGACCATTTCTGTCTGTCCCATTCCTACTAAAACCTAAACATCAAAAAAATAAGTCCATGACCTCTGCTCTAACCACATATAAACATGACCTGTGTTTGTCCCTAACACTTCCGCATGTCGTCTGCTCTCTGCTGTTCACAAAATCACACCAGGAAGCAGGAATGTGTGCTCTGGAGATCAACAGCTGATAGAGCTGTGTCAAATCTGTTCCTGTGCACGGGCAGCACGCTAACAAAATAAAAAACACATACATTGACCACATTGCTAAATATATGGCGCAGAGTTCACAGAAGTGGAAAAAGGTAACTGCTTTCAACTGTCTTGAAATGTCTGTATTTATTTCTCATGTCTAATTTTATGTAGAATACTGGCAAATAGTAATCAATATAACAATCAAATGACCATAAACAAAAATGCATTTTCTTTCAATGCATTCTAATTGCATTAGTGTGACCTTCTATTTGAAGCGATGGACTTTCACCATAAAGCTGTTTATTGTTGAAACAAACGCTTGTTTTAATTTGACTTAATTTCTATATGATGGTCTCCATTGCTTTGATTGAAGGTCCTATCGCTGGCCATGTGGGGGATGGGAACTTTCACTGTCTCATGGTGGTGGACCCCAACGACGAAGCGGAGCTGCACAGGCTGCACTCCTTCACGGACAGACTGGCCAGGTGCAGACTTTCTCTCACTGCACAACAATCATTCTTCTCTTACCACATATCTTAACACAGCTGCAAAATGTATTCTATATTTCCTGAGTAATGGTGAGAATTAGGAATATGATACGGCTTTTCCAAATAATTAGTCTTAAAGTCGCCCATATCTGCTCTGATTTAATTTGCAAGGTAGCATTGTCAACTTTGATGTTGTTTTTTAGGCGAGCTCTATCCCTGGATGGGACGTGCACAGGAGAACATGGCGTGGGTCTGGGGAAGAGGCGCCTGCTGCTGGAGGAGCTGGGAGAAAGCACCATTCAGACCATGCAGGTCTTAAAGCACGCTTTGGACCCCAAGAACCTGATGAACCCTGGGAAAATCCTGCTGCCATTCTCCAGAGAGTCTAGACAGGGTTAAGAGGATGTCGATATGTGAACATCCAATGTGTGAACCATAACTCTTTCAGTTTCACTTTGGTTTTACATAGCTTTTGCACTGTGTGAACACTTCTATGTATTTGTATTTGTCTTTGAATGTTTGGCTTTTGCACAACATGATTTATGAGGGGTTTCTAAGAAAAAAACATATTGTCAAACTTTAAAGTTGTTATGAAATCATCTGCAATTATTTAGTAATAAAAGCTTAAAGCAACATAGTGCAACTTTATAAAAGTGGAACTGCATGAGAAAAGTGAGATCCATTCTTTGGAAGTATGTAGAGAATCGCGCATTTCGGGCTTTTCAGGCCCACAAATCTACATTCATAAAGTTTGATCCTTCCGTCGCGTTCTGGTTATTATGCAGTTTTTTATTTCCACCACAACGTGGCAGCAGATACACGTTCTTTGACCAATGCCGTGTCGAGTGTGTGAGAAACATTTTGTGAACTGAAAAACTACCTGACAGGTCATGATGAAACTGGGTTGCAACAAATCTGTAAATAATGTTAACAACATATCATTTTTTTCTTTCTTTAATGCGATGCAGCCGCATCATTCTCTCCAAATCCCATTTTAATTAAAGCTTTGTAATTAATGCTTCATTGTGCAACCAAGGAGGCTGCTTGACAGGGCAGGTGGTGTGAGAGGACATCTGAAGATGGTTTTTACCCCTGCACCTGCTGCTCGCTGCCACACCTCGTCATAGTGCCAGAGGAGCCTTGAAGAACCAGTCTCATTCAGAGTCTCATACGGCGTGTGTTTGTCTCGTTCCTGCGCTGTCTGCTCTACTGAGCCTGCGCACTGCGCGCCTCCATTGTCTCGCCAGTAACAGCAGTGGAGACAGCAGCAGCTGGGACAGACAGGAGCCGAGAGGCGCTCCATCAGCTCGGCCAGACTGTCAGCTCCGCACACAGCGGAACGTCCCGGACAGGAGGGCACGGTGGTCCGCTTAACGGGACACACGCACTCACTCAGCGGCTCCGCGCACAGCAACAGTTGTCACGATGTGCGCGTTCAGATGAGGCGCGAGGAGCGGACAGCACTGCGGCGCGGCTCGGCCCGCTCTGCTTAGGACCACCCGGGACCACCCGGGACCATCCCGGGACTGGAGATCCCATCTGAGGGTGGGCGCTCAGCAGTGCGCGTGGACAGAGGTGCTTCCAAACGCAGTGGTCGCCTTCAGCACTAAAGGTGCTTCAGACGCGGTGTGGTGCGGGGGTTGAGGGGGTGGCCCATGCACCGTGCACCGGGGACACGGGCAGAGAGCTGACGAGCCCGACACAGGGACAGGCCCACGGAGCCACGGCCGCTCTCCTCCATCAGCACACTGCGCTCTGTGGATGGGGGGCAAGCAGAGCACTACAGGGCGGCCCCGGGGCACGTTTCCAGGGGTGTCCACAGATGACAGCGCGGTTCCGCCTTCAGCGCACTTTGGTCATTACCGGTCCAGCGGCACCATGGGCCTGCGCAGCCGCTCCGTGAGTTCCGTAGCCGGCATGGGGATTGACCACAGCGCTTCTGTGCCCTTTGGCTTCTATCCTCCCAGAGGGACGGACTCAGAGAGAGTCGGAGGGGGGTCTGGCACCACTGCCCCTCACGGTACGGGATACCAGGACTCTGGGGGCGGAGGGCATCACACGGACGGGGTGCTTTATCTGGGGTCCCGGGGGTCGCTGGCAGACACCTTGCCCCTGCACATCACGCCCCGGTGGTTCAGCGCACACAGCGGTAAGACATGCACATGTGCTGTTGTTGACAATGCTCACAGATTATGCACTGTCACATGAATGCGTTTAGTCTGCAGGAGCTTTAGGGCTTTCTTTTTCCACACTAAATTGATTGCGTATAGATAACACTCACCGTCAAGTCAAGAAATTACAACATATTTCTACAATAGCCTAAATATAGTAGAACCAACTCTAATGAGACCGTTATGTGAATAGTGCGTGCTGGTATCTGTCCGTCCATGAGTTTGACAATACATGTCAGCAGTTAATTGTTAATGAATATCTGCATCCCCAATCATAAATGCCAAACGTTCTAATCTCTAAATGAACTAAATATTTCTTTAATCTTACTTTGCTTTTTAGTTTATAGCGTTGTTGATCATGTCTAGAAAAGTATTGCCCGTTTATACATTCTGAGCGTCAATGTAAATCGAATTGGTCCTTCACAACTAAAGCGTAAAAGGTCAGAATATGCAGAGTAAAACAGGGTGCCGCTTCAGTCAGCGTGACTGCTGCAGCTCTGCATAGGTCAGACCTTGTTGTGTGAAATGACACTAATAAGCCTGGTGCCAAATCTGGTTGAGTCAATTAGGCCAGCGATTAGAGAGAGCAGAGGGGGAGGACACAGACTAAAGGATGAGAAAATATTATATGGATACGAGCCCTTTCATCATTCATGTTTAGCAACAACAATCATGGATAAGAGCTATAGTGGTTTATCTTTGTTTCTCAAAATCCCATAATAATGAATTACAATGTTATCTTACTGAGATTTCATTCAAAACAACGTTTGGATGCTGTGATTAAAAGTATACAGTTCTGATTGGTCTGGGAATCAAATCTTCCACCAAGATTAAACACAATAGGCCTAGATAACTTAAGGCTGAAGAAAATTCCACGTCTGCCAATTTTATCATTAGCAATGGCAATAAAAACATGATTTTGAGACGCAATCCTATAATAATATTTTGTCTATGCAACAATACATTCTGTTGCATTGTGTGCAATTGAATGCACTATTTATTCAATTATGTGGTACATATGTCTGTGATACATCTGCATTTTTAATAATAATAATTGCCAGGTTGAATTGTCATAAGATTGTGTCATCTCGCGTGACTATGATCTTTTCTATGTGATTATACGGCTTGGTCAAAAATTGGGTGATTATTTTGAGAATTAGTAGTCCCAAAAACAAGAACTATATCACATACATTGTTTTGTTCTTAGGGAGTTGTTTTCTAATACTCACATTTCCCCAGTGTGGGACAAAGAAAGGATCTCTTATCGTCATTGTAATTGTCATTCATTTAACACGTACAATAGTACAATTTCTCCTTCCAATATCTCATCTTGTTGACTCAATCTCACGTCTCCAATCGTCATGTGAATATCTACCTGCTCACGGTCTCAAAATAGTTAGTAAACACAACATTCTCTACACCCGTTTTGATAAGTCATAAAATTCACCATCATATTTTGATTCTTTGGCTCACTCCTAAACGCTATTTATACCATCAGCCGTATCTCTTCCACTGTGTGTGTTATTCATATCTGTATAATCACAAACTGCACTCCCAGGGCCCTTGTTACTGAGGCCCAGAGTGCATCACTGCAGGAGCACAGCCATCACTGCTGTTGCTGCTGTTCCCGGTGGACTCGGTTATTATCAGGTGTCACATTAGAAAACATGAGGAAGGTGAAATAGGCAGCACACACCTGGGATCTACAGCCAACGCAGCAAACACCAGTGCACGCTATTATCTGCTTTAAGTCTTGAGACAAAATCCTATGGCTCACAATGAAATGAAATGTGGTATTGTTAAATAGGATTCCATTTAATTGTGAAGAATTTGGATTTATGAAAAGTGAACACAAACACATACAGTACTATCCCCGTGGGGTAATTAATTAACTGCATTCGACCCATCCTGGTGCGACTTGGGCGTCTGTCAGGAGCAGTGATCAGGTGTTGATGCTTGGCTTGGTCAGGAATACCGAAGCTGGAGGATTTACCTATTGAGCATGTTTTTAGTGGTACGGGGAAGACTGGAGCACCCAGAGGAAACCTACGCAGACACGGGGAGAACATGCAAACTCCACTCAGAAAGACCAACTTAAGCACACCTGTATACAAAGCTACATTTGAAAGAGAAATACATTTTGTCCACATATATGCCACCCTTAAATCTACGCCACAAGTTTTCATGTCGTAATGTAAAACTCAGAAACTTAACAGATGGAAAAAAATGGTTATTCTGAAAGAACAAGTTAGATGTATCACTTTGTTGACATGTTTCGGCTGTAAATGCTGTGAGGCCTCTTCAGAACTGTCTCCGGCCTTCAGCTGATGTTACTTCCTGAGTATACTGTAGGTGTGGTCGGTCTGATTGACCTGACAGGTTACACAGACTGACCCCGCCCCCTCTCGCCCGGTGGTCTCTGGAGGAGGGTGTCCCATGTGTGCGACAGGTGGAAGGTCCCTCATCTCGGTTGATGCTGTTGTTGCCCCGTTTTCTGATTTCGATGTATTTGTTGTTTTCCATTAACAATATCAGCTGATAAATGACACCTCACCAAGACAGGCAAAAGCTCATATAACTTGCCTTTTAAAAGAACCACAAAAACAATACACATTTTAACTCAACAAAGCAAAATGAACCTTTTTGAATCAAAGCTGATAGACGACGGATGTCTAAACCTGGCATGCCATATAATGAGGAGGTGTTTTAATGCACTGTTGACTCTGGTAAATCCAATCTGTTTCAATAATGAATGTGTGTCCCATTTCCTACTAAACCATTACCCATTTTCTTGACTAAAACTCTTGACTAAAATGGAGTCAAAATGAAAAAGTCCATAAACTCTGCTTTGACAATAACCCTGTTGGAGGGTCAGTGAGGGTCAGTGAGGTTAGAAACTGTAAAAAGCAGCGGCTTATATTTGACAATTATTGTGTTTTCATTTATTTTCTTGTGCCTCTATCATTTATTGTGATATAATCGATCATTTTTCCCTGAACAGAACAAGTCTAGTCAACTGGGCGCATACTACAATTATGTCTTCCAATATTATATCCAACATTTTGGGTTATGGGTTTGCAAGTTGGCGGAAAGTGTTGCAGTCATTCACAGGAAGAAGGTTGTGGGTTCAATCCTGTTTGTATAGAGGCCCTTGGTTGTTCCTAACCAAGAGCATCAAGAACCGGAGAGAGGTTCCCATGTGCTGCACTATACGGGTTGTTATAGAGGCATTGAAGAATGGGTTAAAGACAGACAAAGACAAAATGGACACATTTTCCTTTGGGGATAAACAAAGTATACCTCGCCTTACTTTATGAGGCCCAGCGATGCACTCTGGGCCTCAGTAACAAGGGCCCAGGGAAGGCAGTTTGCAACACAGATATGAATAACACAAGCCATACAGCTGACACTATATAAATAGTTGTGTATGTATTGTGATGGTAAATGTTATGACATGACAAGAAATACTTACCCTTTTCTTCATTTGATCTTACAATGTTTCCCAAACCATATACACCCATTTCAATCGGAGAATACTGCACAATTTCTGTAACAAATGATTTAATGGTTTTATTTAAATTGATTAAATTGATAAAATGATTTGATGGTTTTATTTAAATTCCGCTTCCACAAACATGTGCTTGTCCTAGTTTGCAATTTGGCGGCTCATTACCATATTATAGCGTTATAACAAATTCCATACCTTACAATTAACCAATTATAAATGTGCTCTTAAAGCTTACTGTTCTGTGTCTGATCATTACACCATTAACCTAGACCTAGAGCTATTCCTCCCACTGCTAGCACCTTTTAGAGGTCCAGGCCTGTCAATACAGCATCAGCTCTTAATCAATAGAGTCTTTTTTCTCAACAAGTTTAATCCGTGCCGACCTTGGCCGAGAATTCCCCAGTGACACCTCACAAGTGCAATAGCATTTTTAACGCTTAATTACACCGGCTGTTTGAAGAATAGAACTCAATAAGCCTGAATAGTGGAGAGGCTTCAGTAATCTCCAACAGCCATCACCGGTCTCCTCCCAGAGACTCTGTATAACGGGCCGGGGCAACAATCAATTTGTCATTAGAAAAAAAAAAGCCTTCTGTCTTGCTACAAGGTTTTTTTTAATCAAGACTGTGAGTTCTTATTAATTTTGCACCAACAAATTCCGATGATAAACGATGGCGGCACAGTGGCGCAGTGGGTAGTGTCCCAGACGACGCCTTTCTGTGTGGTTTTGCATGACTCCCCCGTGTCTGGGTAGGTTTTCTCTAGGTGCTCCGGTTTCCCCCAACAAGTGTTTCAGCGTCTTTTTTGTGTCATCACCGGGTGTGGAGTGAATGGAAATAAATTGGTACTCCAAAATTCTCGTTACGCTAACAGTTTTTATCCACAAGCTGTTATCAGTGTGAACAGAGCACTTTAATGATTTGCACTTGTTTTGAAACTGTTTTAGTCGATCGATTTCACAGTGACATTTGTTTACTGTTTTATTTGTTTTATTTCTGTCTTTTAATGTTGTTTTATGTCTGTATTTGTCTGTGCACACTGGAGACTTTTTGCTAATGTATTCCAATGTGTTTTTTTTTTTTTACTGCAAATGGCAAATAAACTGAATCTGAATCTGAAAATTATAAAAACACCGAAAACATTTGTGTGGATTTTTATTATTTTCAATTATATTTTCTTTTCTTAACTTATCTGTTGTCTTACCTTTTTAGTTTTACTTGTCCCATTAATCCCTTGACTGTTTGCCCCGCCCAAATGTAACCCACCTGTGTCTCGCTGTCTGTATTTATACCCTGTGTTTTCCCCACCTGTTGGCCGTCTATTGTGTATCCCACATTTTGTTGCCGACTTTTTTTACTTCTGGAATTTTGTGTTCTATTTTTCACTACGGATTCATTAGATTGAATTTTTTTTCACACAGTCCTGCATTTTGGGTTCTTTTTTTTATTTCACTTCACCCTCTATAGGCCGCAGAGTTCACAAAGCTTGAAAAAAGTTGAAGCTTATAGTCTAGCAAGTATTGTAGCTTAAGATAAATATAGCAACAATGGTAGAAAAATCCCCTTAACCACAAGTGAGTCAGTGGCTGCATCTGAAAATGGCTAATTGCTTGTTTTATGTTTTATGTTAATATTATTTATATTAAGTCAGTTCCTTTTAAACAAATATGAGAGAACCAAGTAACATTAAGACTGTAAGTGACCGCTTTAAACCTGATAATGGACCTAGAAGCATGGCTAACCACTTCAGAGACCTGTACTCATGAAGTTAGTATTATTATTATTAAATTTTTTCTAGTCTTTTCTACTCATTATTGCTCCTATTGGTTGGCCTTCTGTTGAGGTAAACCTTAATGAGTTGGTGAGACAGTAAGGAGAGCATTTCTTAGTCGTTCATAAGGTCTTCGGACTTTCCTAATCGAGCGGAACTAGCACCGCTGTTGATCACAAATGAGCGCACATAATTGTGGCGCGACGGAAACGTATTAAGCAAAATACTCCAGACGTTTTAAAACACAATAGAAACTCACAAGATGATTATGTAACAGAACTTTTCTTGTGTAACAGCACATGCTTCTCTCTATAATGTAAAAATTAAGTCTGCAAAGAAGCATTGAACACATTATTATGTTTTCCAATGTGATTTTACTGCAAATGGCAAACACATTCACTGCAAAAAAAGTGAAAATGTAGACTACAGTTCACTTGATTTCAGTGTATTGACATAATCACACTTTTTCTTTGGACATTGTTACACACCCAGGCTACTTAAGATAATATTACTTGTTAGAAATATATTTTGATAAGTGGAAAAATCATGAGCCACTGGCAGATAATTTTGCTTGAATTAAGTACATTTCCTCTGATAGTAGCTATTTTTTGGAGCCACTTTTTGTAGTGGTAAATCTGCATCTAAAATTACAGACAGACTACAGCGCGTCTAAAGCCCTTCTGCTCATACTGTATGTTCATAAAGTTGATTTTACAAGAGGTAAATGCATTTCACAATCTACAACACGTGGAACATGAATACAGGTGATTCTGCAGATTGGCTTTTTTTCCGGATATATTTAATAACGTCCCCAGGCTCCGAAGCTAAAAGGGCTGATAAAGGAAGCCTGTTTCTTGATGTTTTTGAGCAATTCGGATCCTCCTTGTCATGGTGACGGGAACAGCGGCGCTCTGTTCCTGTCACAGATGAACAGGTGAGGCTGTTTTCCTCCATGTTGTGTGCGATGGTCGCCCGAGGGACACTGAGGGACATGGCCGTCTGAGAGTCAAAGCAATTACTCATCATCAACACCCGCTCTGTGTGCAGTAATGCCATTGTTCTCAGATTAGACCTGTCAGAACAAAAGCCTCCTGTAAATTCACTGCTGTCATTAGTTGTAGAAAATAATAATCTTTTTAGACTACAATGTCATTGCCAAGAGTTCATAAACATCTTATTTCACAGTTACACAAATATTATTCTTTTAAAAATGGCCCTATAAAGCATTTGATGATAAGTTTAGGACCCAAAGTTATAGATGAGATAATAGCACACGTTTTCTGTCAGAAATGATGGAGAACTAACGTAAAGCGCTTTGTGAGAACTACACAAAAAAGATTACTTATGCACTTTTGTTTTTTCCATACTGAGAGCTGATTGGCTGAGTGAGGACTGGTCCTCTCTTTTTCACTGAAAATGTGTAAAAGATATAACAGAGGATAAAAGTACATGCATGTGAAAACTGGGGATAGAATCAAACAGTTTTGAGATAGAAAAAGGGTACATTGCTTTTATTTTATAGTTTATTTGTTGTGGTATCAAAGTACTCTATTTGTTAGGTACTCTGTTTTTTTGTCATTAGAATTTGACAGTGAACATTAATGAACAGCAGAGACACACATCAATATATTGCACTGTTAATACTGGTCCCACAACGCCTTTTTCTTATGTCCATGAAAAGGAAAAACAAATTGTTAAAATGTACAGTGCCGATTTTAACTCATGCAGCTCCACAGAATATTTTCTGCTCTATTTAGATTATTATTGCGTGCTAGCTTACCTCTGGGCTCTGAAAGCTGTAAAAAGCATACTTATCACAGTGTTGGTGTGATAGGGTCAGGACCTTTAAGTTATAATTGAATTGTATAAACTGTGATACAGCTGAACTTGAAACTTCTGGTGATTGGTGAGAAAGAGATGGTCGAGACTGAGTCAGCGTTCACACTTGACTGGTTCGCTTTGTGCAAAAATGCTTTATTCGTTCATGTAAAACCACCAAACAAGTGAACATGTGTCCACTATCCACTTAAGTCAGTTCAAATATTTTGAAATGTGTTACGGTGGCTGAGTGACTAGTACTCTCGCTTCTCAGGAAGAAGGTCCTGGGTTCGAATCCCAGCCTTGCTGAGTGGAGTTTACATGATTACATGAGTTTACATGTTCTCCGGGTGCTCCTCCTGTACTGGCGACCCCACTCCCATCTTTGTCTGGAATTGTCCACAATTGTAAAGTGCTTTGTGACTACGGTCTGTGAAAAGTGAAGTGGTCATGCTGATGGTTTAACTCCCTGCAATGGAAATGAGACAGAGGAGTTACTGTACACAAATGACTTGACAGGTGATTCGGTGAGAAGACTGACAAAGCCATATATACTGACGACAATTCATTTTAAAACGCAAGAGACAACACATTCTTTTCAAGGTTTTTATATCCATCCTCAATGTTTCCTTATCTTCCTCTGCTTTCCAACCACAACCCACGTACACCCGGCTAAAACCCAATTAGACAACAGCACGCCTGCGATCCTACTGCGCATCCTGGTGTTTTGGCTGGATTTCACGGACCCAGGGTTTCAGGAACACTGGGATTGAAAAACAGATGTGTGCTTGCTCGCTGACTGCTTTCAAGATTGGGTGGATATAGGTCAGTCAGCGCCGCAATTTATTTTTTCCCCTCCATGTCTCTGCCTCGTTCCCTCGCTCTGTGTTAACCCGGGAGAAGGCATGCGAGGACACACAAGGGCAAACCGGAAAGATGGAGCGAACAAGAGTAACGGGATAGGATTCTGTTGCCGTGACGACCGCATAGCCAATAACAAAAACAAACTCACCTTTGCAAATGTCGCTGCGGTTATCTTTGCCACAATATGTCTCCAACAGAATGCAGAGAGCTGGTTTCAGTGGGTTCTACTGCTACTGTTGATACAGGCTTTTGTTTTTTTTTGGTGGATTAAAATGTATCATAGTTCTCACTAATCCAAAACCCCTTAAAGATGTCTATCTATGTAGTTCGTGCATGTCAAACAAATGTGGCCTGCAAAATCTTTGAGTAGCCCCCGATATATAGCGTCTACCATGTTATACATATATATATAAGATATATTAATTTTCTTTCAATAAAACAACCACATTATTTGTTTTTTTTCTAAACATGGAGACAAAATAATAGTTAATAATTTATTAAGTAGTTACTAATTACTAACTAATTACTAACTAGTTGTTCTTATACCCATTTTATTTTCATTTTTTAAGTGAAAGCAAAAAGGAGACATTATTTTATTAATAAAAAAACTAAATCTTTAAAGTGGGGTTTGCACAGCATGAGTTTATACTATATGGAATCCTCAGCTCCAGAAGATATATGTCCAATAATGTCCTGTATCTTGCTTCATCCACCTTCCCATCAACTCTGACCCTTGTCCATGCCCCTGCTGAAGAAAAGCAGCCCTATAACATGATGCTGCCACACCCATATTTGACACTGGGGATGGCGCACTCAGGGTATAGAGCGTAGTGTTAGCTTTGAGTCTTTCATAACATTTTGGATTTGGCTCAAAGTTTTCAATTCTGGTCCACAGCACCTTCTTCCACTCGTTGAACGTGTCCCCCATTTTTTTCCCCCAACACTTTTTTTCAACCCTTGTCAATAAAAACCAAATTTTTGCAGTGTATGACGAGTATTTGCCTCATGTACAGAATCTTGTAGGTGAGCTGTGGATGTTTGTAGCTCCTCCAGAGTGACCATTAGCCTCGTGTGTGCATCTGTGATCCGTGTTGTAATTGTTGGAGCTGTGGGTTTGGGCAGACAGCCGAGTCTTAGTCGATTTGCAGTTGTGCCATGCTCTTTCCATTTATGAATGATGGATTAGACAGTGCTCTGTGAAATGTTCAAAGCTTGGGAAATCTTTGTGTAACTTAACGGTGGTTCAAACTTCTCCACAACTTTATCCTTGACATCTCTCGGGTGCTCCTTGACCTTCATGTTGCTGTTTAGTGACCAATACATTCTGAATATAGCTCTGAGAGAACTGTATTTATACTGACAGCAAATTATTCTCAAATGGGCTCTATTTTTGTTAGTTAGGGCCCCACTAATAACCCAATCATGCATCGGTTTACTTTGACTTCACAGTTGTCACAGTTACTCGGTGTGTGAAATTTTAGTAAAGAAAACAAAATCAAATCTTTGTTTGTAGTCGTAAAAAACATGACAAAATGTGCAAAAGTTGAGGATGTATTAGTTCTTTTGAGACCTTGGGGGACAGAGCTTTTGCCATTGCCGCCCCAACCCTCTGGAACTCACTCCCACTGCTCATTAGAAACTCCGACTCACTATCAAACTTTAAATCTGTACTCAAAACCCATCTTTTCAAACAAGCTTTTCCGTAAACCCCTTTTTATTATTGTATTTTACTCCCCATGTGAAGCGTCTTTGAGTGTCCAAGAAAGCGCTATATAAGTTTGATGTATTATTGAGAGGCACTGTATTTGTGACACAATAAGATTCTATTCTAATGTTTTGCAGACAGACATTTGATTACATGTTCTTTGAATTGTGTAGGACATTTCAATATTTGAAAGTCATATACAATCAAATAATCTCCAAACACAGGATATAATCAATCATTTTAATTACCTGTATTTCATTGCTTTTGATTGATGCAATGGTTATTATTTATTTTGAGTCCATTCTTTCCGTAGCATTTCTCATCCTCATCAGTTTTATGTCAGAACCATACTGTATGTAATGTCATTGTAATGGCATGTCTATTATGGGCAGTGACGGCCGTTGTGCTTGTCTGGTGGGCACGGCAACTGTTGCTACGAACAGAGCCTAAATGTCGTCAGAGAGGGACTTTCTAAAGATAAAACTTGTATTTTTGCACCGGGCTGAAAATGTGACATTACAGTGGGCTCCATGTTACTCACACGCATAACATTTTTGAATATACTGTCACACGTCACCAGAGCATTGAAGATTGATCAGTCAAGTTTTTAGATACTGTTGGTTTTTATAATTAATGTATACTTTACAGGGGTATGTATGTAGACTTCTGGCTATTTTTGGTGTATACAATACAGAGTAAATATGTTTGTACTTCTGCCTTTGTCAAAATTAGGCATAACACGGCCTGGCAGAAAATCAGACTGGTACTATGGACCTGGGCTTTTTATCAGCATCCTGAAATCATATTGGCAACTTGAACATGGCCTTTTAATATCTAGACCACAGTGGAGCTGAGTGCAAAAGTGTGCAGTAACTTCTGAACGGATTAGTGAAAGTGAAAGTCATATTACCTTTGGGACAAATGCATATTGAATCCTGAAAGCCGTTTACATACTGTACATACTATACTGTACATGCCCAAAATTGTCTTCCTGTTATTACTCATTACTTAAAATATGAGAATTTATTGGCTTCAATATTTTACTTCAAACTTATGAGGCTGTATTAGACGTGGTCAGTATTAAGATCCTGCAATGATTTAAAAAGCACAAAATGTTTTCATCCTCTGTTGTGGAGCAAGAACACAGAACTCCTCTCACCTCCCTGCCTTCGTAGGGACACATGAAAGTATTTACTAATGGCTCCACACTGGCTTAGCAGCAGCAGAGCTTATGAACAACACAGGCTCAATATACAAAATGATAGGTGCTCTCAACTGGAGGAGATCTTGTACTCCCAAACCACGTGATCGCCATCCTCTGAGATATTTACAACTGTAACATTGTAACACTGTTTTACCTCCTGATATTGGAAAGTAAAAAAGATTTAGATGTCATCTTGTTGGTATTCTTCAGACGTCGCTCTATGTAGAGGTCCTGGATAATCTTTTCAGCGCAATACATCTATCTCTGGAGGGCTTTGCGGCTGTGATAAGACACTCAGAGATACACCCGATCAGCAGACTCCCCATGGGGCAGTTTATTAGAGGGAGGTGTTCATACCAAATGTCCTCAACTTCCCCACAAAATAAAGTCTCAGGCGTGCTTTTTGTACATCAGCATCTGTGTGTAGTGACCAGGTCAGGTTGTCGGTTATGTGCACTGCAAAAAATTGGTAACTGGTGTTTTGTTCAACTGGCACACTGTTAATTTGGATGGTGTCCTTCTCCTCGCTGCTTCCTGTAGTTAACACAAAGTTATTTTGTTTTGCTGATGTTTAGACAGAGGTTTTTGTCAGTGATATGACTTCATTCCTGTAGGCCGTTTCATCATTGTTGCTGATGGAACAGGAAATTTAAAGATGGCATTTGAATGGTTTTGAGCCGTGCATTCCGATGTAAACAGGGGGTAGAGGAGAGGACCCAAGACACAGCCCTGTGGCGCCCCAGTGTTCAGACCTATTGTGAACAAGGTGTGTCTGCCAATTCTCACCACTTGTGGCCTCTTTGTCAGGAAATCATAGATCCAGTTGCTGCGAGATTTGTCTGTGCCCAAATAGGTGAGCTTGGAGATCGACTTGGAGGGGATTATGTTGTTGAATGCCGAGCTGTAATCGATAAGAAGCATTGGCACATCATCATTCGCTTTGTCCAAGTGCTAAAGGGCTGTGTTCTCTGATCCAGCGTGCCAGGAATGTGTATTTTGACCATTCGCTCGAGACATTTCATAATAACAGAAGTGAGGGCAATGGGGCGAAAGTCATTCATGCATGATGTAGCAGATGTCTTTGGAACAGGTACAATGGTAGACTTTTTTTTAAGATGAAAACTATCCTAATTACAGAATTGGCCATGTCCAAGCTTAAACGTAGATAGTGCTGTGTTATTCAAAAAGAGAAAATAAGGTGCTACAGCAAAGCCCCCTTATTTTTAGTCCTTTCGTTTTGATTTGGATAAAATTAACTGTTTATGAATGGACCAAGATAGATAACCAAGATAGATATATAGTGATATATTTGTATGGAGGCTGGTCAATCTACGTTCCCACCCTCAACTATGGCCATGAGCTTTGGGTAATGGGTGGAATAGCGGATACAAGCAGTTGAAATGAATTTCCTCATGTTGATAGAAGCAGTTGAGGTGGCTCAGGGATCACTCTGATGAGACCCCAGAGAAGACCCAGGACATATTGGAGGGAGTATGTCTCTCAGTTGGCCTGGGAACACCTCAGGATTCCCCACGGATGAGCTGGAGGAAGCGTGTGTGGATAGGGAAGTCTGGGCATCTCCCTGCGACACAAGAATGAATAAAGAGAAAGAAAAAGGATGGATGGATAGATGTGTAGAGGCAATAAAATAACATGGAAAAATCTGTGATAATACTGTACAATATGTTGTGCAGGGCTAAATGAGTTTTTAGCACTGTTTGGTCCAATTCAGCTACGGTACCTCTGCACAGGTATGATTCATGTGCCATGTTTTCACTCAACCTCATATCAATATTTGTATCGTGAAAACTCTGCTTTCGTGTCCCCCCCCCCCCCCCCTGTGTTGTGTGAGGTCATCACACTCCACCTCTATTTTCCTCTTCTGCCCGTCTCCATGGAAACTGCTGGCGCTCTGTAAGGTAAGGTTTCCGCTCGCTGTTGCGTTTGTTATGAAGTTGTGATGTAATGCAGTGGGTTTACAGAGCTGCCGTTTATGGGCATGACTGAGGTGGGCTGCTGATGATCTCCCACATCCTGCTGCTGCTGATGTGTGTGGACCCTGATGTGGCTTCTATTGACACATGTATGACTCTGCAACAAAATTAGGTATTCTTTAACCCTTTAATGTTCACTCCTTGACAAAAGACCAAGGACAAAAAGCTGTTATAAAAGAACAACATATGGTTTCCTCAAACATTTGGTAGACCACATTTTGAGTCACTGTATCTACTTGGAAAATGGTTGGAACAGAAATCCACCTCTTTGGGGCATCTCCACCACTTGGTTGAAATATGCTTTGCTTAAAATATCCACCTGAGGTCACTGTTTTGTTTTGTTTTTTTGACAGTAGAACTTTTCGGTCTTCCTGCTGTGAGCAAGTTTAAAATACAAAACCCATTAGTAGATATATAAGGTACCAGTATTGAGCAAGTGGTGAAAAGGTGGTACTGCACCCTGAACTCCCCCCAGAATAGAGGCACCGCTATTGAGCAAGTGGTGAAAAAGTGTTACTGCACTGTATTTTTTCAAAGAGGTGTCATTTTGAATGTGTAATGAGTTAGCCTCTGACTGCGGAACCTTCCGCAGTCAACCATTGGTTTTGTATTTCTTTATTCCGTCATTTTTTTTGACACGTTTCACAGCTTTCACATTTTCAACAATTTCCACAAGTTATACATCAAAACGTTCCACATGTTTGGGAGATTATTGCTATTACTTTTGGGACTTCAGCGATTTCCGGTTTTTCCGCAATCGGACAAAAATCTGCATTGAGAATTCTGCAATGCATTTTAATAGGCCCATGCATTTTAATAGGACTTCAGCTCTTTCAGACATTTCTACAGTTTCAATGATTCAACAGTTTCAAGGATTCAACAGTTTCAAGGATTTCAGCAGTTTCAAGATTTCAAGAGTTTCAAGGACTTCAACAGTTTCAAGGACTTCAGCAGTTTAAGGACTTCAGCAGTTTCAAGGACTTCAGCAGTTTCAAGGACTTCAGTGTAATCATGCAACCTAATAGGGATTTTTCCATGTAAACCAGTATAATGCAACTTAATAGGGATTTTTCCATGTAAACCAGTATAATGCAACTTAATAGGGTTTTTTCATGTAAACCAGTATAATGCAACTTAATAGGGTTTTTTTTCATGTAAACCAGTATAATGCAACTTAATGGGGATTTTTCCATGTAAACCAGTATAATGCAACTTAATAGGGGTTTTTACATGTAAACCAGTATAATGCAACTTAATAGGGTTTTTTCCATGTAAACCAGTATAATGCAACTTAATAGGGTTTTTTCCATGTAAACCAGTATAATGCAACTTAATAGGTTTTTTCCATGTAAACCAGTACAATGCAACTTAATAGGGATTTTTCCATGTAAACCAAGTATAATGCAACTTAATAGGGTTTTTTACATGTAAACCAGTATAATGCAACTTAATGGGGATTTTTCCATGTAAACCAGTATTATGCAACTTAATAGGGATTTTTCCATGTAAACCAGTATAATGCAACTTAATAGGGATTTTTCCTTGTAAACCAGTATAATGCAACTTAATAGGGTTTTTTTCATGTAAACCAGTATAATGCAACTTAATGGGGATTTTTCCATGTAAACCAGTATTATGCAACTTAATAGGGATTTTTCCATGTAAACCAGTATAATGCAACTTAATAGGGTTTTTACATGTAAACCAGTATAATGGAACTTAATAGGGGTTTTTACATGTAAACCAGTATAATGGAACTTAATAGGGGTTTTTACATGTAAACCAGTATAATGCAACTTAATAAGGATTTTTACATGTAAACCACTATAATGTAACCTAATAGGGGTTTTTACATGTAAACCACCACAGACCAGTAAACCAGTATAATGCAACCTAATAGGGATTTTTCCATGTAAACCAGTATAAATGCAACTTATAGAGATTCCTTAGTTACAGGAACCAAATTCTTTCAGCGGTGAGGGGATTTTTCAGTTTCAAGGACACTTTCAATACATTCAGTAGTTTCAAGGATTTCAACTGTTTAAGAATTTAACCAGTTTCAAGGATATCAGGAGGTTCAAGGATTTCAGGAGTTTCCACACTTTCAACAGTTTCCAGGTTTAAAAAAGTTTCAAGGATTTCAGGAGTTTCAATGTTTCAACAGTTTCAAGGATTTCAGGAGTTTAAGGTTTCAACAATTTCAAGGACTTCAGGAGTTTCAAATATCTATCAAGTATTTTAACAGTTTCAAGGCCTTTTAAAGGATTTCAAGGATTTTTTTTAGCAGATTTCCACATTAGATCTGTTCCGCAGTCAATCGCAATGGCTTCAGCCATTGCAAGTTTCTAGTTATTATTATATTTATTTATTTATTTGATTTAATCTTTAATTCAGACACACAAAGGGTCCATATAGAACAAAGGAGACAAAAAACACACAAACATTCAATATTTACAAAATTCTACAAAGACAGTTTCTCCAATGCCTCCAGAGATCAGAGGTGTGCCTAACACTGCTCTGTACAGTTAAAACATTCATTATTACATTTAAAGAGTGCTCAGAGCGTTTCATGAACTTATAAATACAATGTCTGATCACAGCAGTCAGAGTGGGGACATTATTAAAAACAAACAGTGAGCTGGCACTAGTCCAACAGGGACTCTCAGTAAAATTCTAAGTGCATCATTATATGCAACCTGCAGCTTCTTAAACTTACTCTACTGTATCTGGACCACGAGTGGGCAGTTTAGAGCGGAGTGCAGTAGACTTTAAACAAAGTTATTTTCACTTTATCTGTACACATGTGAAATCTCCGTGCCAAAGTGTTAGCCTGTCCATACAGCTTAGTACTGCCTCTGGATGTCATCGTCATCACTGAGGTCACTATTAATTACGTGCCCCAGGTATTTGGCCTTCTCTACATTCTGAAAGCACCCCACCAGACAAATAAAAGGCAGGAAAAGAGGTCTTCAGGTGTTCTTTGGTCCTCACCACCATAAATACTGACTTCTTAGAGTTAAACTTAATGTCATTTTGTTCCCCATCTTCCGTGCAGACTCTCAGCAGCTGCTGCAGACCTGCAGAGTAGGGGGACATGATGACCAGATCATCTGCATAAAGAAGATGGTTCAAGAGTCTGTCTCCAATAGAGCAGCCGGTCTTACACTGCCTTAACTTTACAGATGACTCATCTATATAAACATTAAAAAGCATAGGTGACAGGATTCCACCCTGTCTCACTCCGTTTGACACATGAAACGGTTCTGACACTGCCGTACCCCATTTAACCTGCATGGTTTGGTGCGAGTACCAGAAATGGAGGAGACGAACTAAATATGCAGGGACCCCTCTTTGCATCAATTTATCAAATAATTTAGAATGGTTAATACGATCAAATGCTTTAGAAGCATCCAGGAAACACACACACATAGTAGAACTCTGCCTTTGATATTTACTTAGAGCCTCTTTTAGAGAGTATATGCACATGTCAGTGCCATGTTTGCTTTTAAAACCAAACTGCTCGTCATTTGTGGTACAATACTGCAGGAACCGCTCTGGTAAAATTATTTCTATCACCTTAGAAAGCACACTGGCGAGTGCAATTGGCTTGTAGTTTTCTAAACTAGACAATGTTCCTGTTTTATCCTTGATTACAGGTGTAAGGAGGACAGACATCAGTGAGCTAGGCAGTGTACCATGCATTAACATGCCAGTAAAGCAAAGTGAAAGCAGGACACATAGTCTAGGGCTGGCATACTTCAGATGCTCTGCAGTTAGCTTGTCCAGGCCACAGGATTTATCCAGAGACAGTTTCTTAATAGCTGCAGCTATTTGCACAACTGTGATATTCACGTTTTTATCCGTTGATTTGTCAATAATAAAAGGCTTGCTTTTCACACAATTAAAAAGATTACCATAATGTTTTCTCCAAAGCTCTGCAATATTGTCAGGCCCAGTTATCCCTCAATGGTGGAGGGCAGAAGGATTTTTGTTACACTCATATGTTGTACTTCTTTCCAAAAATCTTGAGCATAATATTTTGATAACTTTTCAGCTAAGGAGTCAGCTCTAAGAGTTTCTTCGTTCCTCTTTATAAATCTAACAGCATCTTTGACAAGAAGTCTGTATTTGTCTACGTACTACTGTATCGTCTCCAGTAGATGGCAGAGCAGGCGAACATATCTTGGGTTGAGGAATGACTTCGGTAACTATCCCATTTCTAATCAGAGGCATCTGGCGGGTGTAGATTATAGCCCAATACTATTAAGAGAATATCATCTCATATCGGAAGCATGGTATCATTTATATTGTATTTTATTCATCTTTATTTATCCAGACTTTCTTTTTGTCTGGTTGGTCGCCCTGTTTTTTATATGTTTTATAATATTATAGTATAATTATAGAACCAAATCAAATCTGAGAGTAGCAGCAGTGATATCCTCAAAGTCTAAACAGAGAGAACCGTTTGCGTGAGCATATTCTTTTCTGTAATTCAAATTGTTTATTTTTTTTATCAGCCTTTGGCAAGGTATAACCACCAAACTCGAAAATAGGTGAAAGATTTCCCTCTGGAAATGTAATCTTTCTATTAGCAGAGATTGTTCCTGTAGATTAACCCTGTAGTATTAGAGGCCAAAACTACAGGACACCTGCATGACAAAGAGTCCAAGTATTTGTGCCCATTGGGTTCCCAGAAAAGGTTCTGGACGTGCTTTAGAACGATGGTTGCTTCAGCTAATAGACCTTCACCACCTTCAGCTAATAGACAAAAGAATAGACAAAAGAAAATTATCTGTTGGAGACTAAGTTTGACATTTTATTTACTCAAGAAATGAGACTGAGAACTCTTATATTATTAGTTTTATGAATCGATCTGGACTGAAGTGCTAGTTACCATAGCAACGCACTGTTTACTTGCAGCAATCAATGTATTAGAGATAATTTGTTCAATTTGTATTAACCAGTTTTTGCATGTATTAAAGATAAAAACTGAATGACTTAACTTTAATAGTAGTGATAACCTAAAACTGAGAGCCGTCTAAATGACTGCTCTGGGAGTTCTAGTTTCAAAATTCAGTCCATTAATGGTTGATTGTGAGCTTAACAATAATAACAAAAAACGACTAAATAAATGCATATACTGTTTTAAATTTTTAATGTTATATATAAACCTTTTAATCTAAGCTTCGACTGGACCATAGTCTGTGTTTTGGTCTTGCGGGGTTGTGTCCGCGTTCGCCAATCAGATTATCAGACCCAAGGCTTTAGGCGCATCACGTGACTCCGCCCCGCAGTCTGTAAAACAGCGCGTCTCTTTTCTCTTTATTCATTTGCTGCCAGAGACGCCCTAGACGCCGTTATCTCCGCTTCAAAGTAGCTAATAAAGACCAAACAACGTCATTATACAAATACGATCACTGGTGCGCATCACAGAAGAATAACATCGCCAACAAGCGCTGTATAGTTCTCTCCAATTTGCGTGTTTTTCCCCCTTTTCTTTGATTAAAAGAAACCATGAAAACCAAATTTATCAACGGAGTTTCTTCTTCCCCGTCCATGTCTCTGGGGCTGCTTGTGACGGAGAATGCCCTGCACGTCCAGCCTGAAGTCCAGATTGAGTGTAAAGAGCTGATCCGCCCTGAGCAGCCCGATCCAGACACCAGGCGCAAGGCTTTCTCCTGGTGCCGTGAGTTTCTGCACGGAGCCTGGAAACGGCTGACGGAGGACAACTTCCAAATCACCATCATAAGGTACATAGTGTTCCACCCTGTGCCTGCATTTGTTTGATAGTCATTTTGTTATCCCTGCAATCTATTTTAAGCATGAGAGCCACTCATTTTGAAGATTTGTATGGTTATTGAATGGTGGCTCAGTTTTTGGGCCTCCCCTTGCCAAATACTCAAAGTGATGTGACCCAGTGCTGTGCTGTATGTTGGATCTTAATTCTGTCTTTCTCTGATATGCTGTGTCTTAGCTACATAAAACAAAATGGGGTTTTAATTTAACAGTGTGTTAGTTGACCCCACCCACCTTGTCCTTGTAGAGGCTATCAGCAGTACCAACATTTACCAGAGCATATCCATACTGTTCTAAAAGCTCTGATGTTTTGGCTCTGCCAAAGAGGAGGGACAGATTCACACCAAATAATATTCATAACTTATCATAATAATCTTGTAATTCACATCATATAATACTATGTTAATGGAATATTATTGTGCGCTGTTCATGTCCCCCAAATATTCTTTACAAATAGGCCAGTAGACCTTCAAAAGATGGTGATAATTGTTTTGTCTAGCTTGAAGAATTTAGCTTTGTTGAAAGAATGCTTTGTGAAACTGTAAGATATAAAGGCATATATTCATCAGTCCATGTGCTCCATGTGCTGGTCTCTCACGGCCTGTTTTTATTGCAGGGGTGGTCTGAGCAACAAGCTGTTCCTGTGCAGTCTTCCTGACTGCATGGACACTGTTGGAGATGAGCCAAGGAGCATCCTACTGCGCCTCTATGGGGCCATCCTGCAGGTGGGGGCCACATCTTTGTGCTATAAAACTCATTTAAAGAAAAGTGATAATTAAATGTTGTGCGAGGAAACACCTGTACAGACCATGTATACTGAATCATGCAACAGGCATTATAGCAGATACATGCGTCTAAAATACACATTTCTGTTATAATATGGTATTATTAAGCTATTGGTGAGTAATCCACACGTTAGAACGACGCAGAAATTACATATTTATTGGTAATCTGTAAATTGATGACTTTTAAAATGTGATGTGCATTGTGGGTCAAGTGTTTATATAGAGCCCAACTTGCTCATTTATGGAGCCACTCAACATGCATTTACAACCAAACCTGCCCTTTGTATTAGCTGTGTGTTTGATGGACTGAGCGCCGGGTTTGCCTGCAGATGTGTGGATGTGATAGCCTTGTTGTACATAGTGATGTACCCCCATGGCTGTACCTGCATGTGTTCTTTGCCGTAGGCATCCCAAAGGAGCGTGCCTTGGGCACTCTTGTTCCCAGGTGAATCCACCCATAAACACGGTACAGTATGAGAGATCTGAAATCTCGCCTATTACAGAATTGTAGCACAAACTCTTAATGTATCAGCAATCCACAAGCTGTCTGTATATTTATCCCTGTCATTTCTAATCAGGTACTACTGTCTAGCCGACAACTGGACTCAGGATAGGAGCAAATGTACACAGGTTGCACAAAGTCAGCTTGATAAGCTGTTGTACATAGTGATATGTGTGCTTCATGTGTAAGAGCTGTTTCACTCAATGTCACTGACGTGTTAAGAATAGATTTATTTTTCTTCCAACAAACAACACACAAACCTCCTGCAGCCACCGCCAACTTGTTTCTAAAACATTGCATTATGTGAAAGACCATTATATAACCAAAACTGTCTTTTGTAGTTAAATAATCAAAGTTTAATAAAGAGATATTTTGGTTGGCTGAGTGTGTGCAGAATCAGGGTCCATGAAGTCATTTTTATGTGCTTGCTCATTAAGTATTAACCCAAGTCTCTTAATGGGTACTTCAGCCTTTAGAGTTTATTACTGCAAATGTCCTTAGAGGGAAAAAGCAGTGTGTTCTTCACCAAGGAAACCCCACCAGGGATTAAGCCATGTCTCTTATGAAAAGGTTAATATCATAAAGATACTAGTAATGATTAAACTTAACGCATGTGGTTTCTCAGCACTGGAAAAATGTGCAGAGTTCAGTTTGATCTGGCGCAGTTATGAAGCCAGTCAACAGTAGACTAATATGTCAGGACAACTCAGTGTGTTTAAGCTCATACTGTGCTGTTTCCCTCTGGAAGGTTCAAGCAATCCTTATAATAAATCATACAATATTCATGGCTTGTTCTTTCCTTCTTTTTGTTGATAGATGTCCTGTAATAAGGGGGAATGCGGGCAATCGAACAAAGATAATAACTTCCAAGTAAGTACATCATGGTTATTGATTCTCATGGTTACATTATGGAGTCTGGATACATTCAGATCAATGAATTGAATATCATCTGCATTTATATTTTACTTCCTGGGACTATCAAGACTCTCCTAAATGTTGTTTCTTGTTAGCAGACAGAGGCAGATGCACTAAATACAAGTACAGTACTTGCTGAACCTTTAAGCGTACCTGTGTATAAGCATTTAAACTGAGAGAAAGTACTTTGTGCCCGGATATAGGCTGCATTTGTATATTTGCCACAGGTTCTCATGGTTTAATGTAACACTTGACCAACAGCTGAGGCAGGTGATGATCCAAAACACTTTATATACGTAGCACATTTTATAAAACACCTTTTCAAAGTGCTGCACATTTAAAATAAAATAAAAACATACAATTACTTGAGTAAACATAAAACAATAAAATGATTAAAATAGAGGACGACACAACTCACGCGGTGTTAAAAGCAATAGAGCAGGGGTCTCCAAACTTTTTCAAAGAGCTACTCCTTTTTGCAGTCGTAATGAAAATCTACATAATAATTGTGACAAAACATGGAGAACAAATGAAAAATATACCATAATACTGTATAACCCTATATTTAAACCTATAATATATATGTAATGGCTCAAAATGAATTCATTCAAGGTCATTTGTTAAATTCTAAATCCTTTGGCGAGCTACCTGAAAGGGGCTGGCGAGCTACTGGTAGCTCCCGAGCCACAGGTTGGAGACCCCTGCCAGAGAGTAAAAGGGTCTTAAGACAGGACTTAAAACAGTCCAACGAGGGAGCTGTTTTGACAATAATATTCCTAATAAGAACTTTATGGAGTCAAAGTAATAACACAACAAGTCCATAAACTCTGCTCTGACAAACGTTTATTTGAACAGGGACAGTACACATCAATCAACATTACTGTAAATGTGTCAGTATTGGCTAGTATTACAGCTAATTTCCAATAAGGTAGTTCCTTGGAAAGATGTAAAATGTCAACATATAAACAAGTTGTGTATATATAATTGTATATTGTGTATTTCCCTGTACTTCCCCATATGTGCTCTCTCTGCTGTTCACGACTCACCGGGAAGCAGGAATCTGTGCTACACGTCATCAGCTCTGGAGGTCAACAGCTGTAGATAGAGCTTTGTCCAAATCCGTTCCAACAAAATAAAAATACATAGATAGGACGCATGGTTTATGGGTCGCCGAGGTAAAATAACAAACTACACAAATAGTGATGATGATGATGATGTTGTTGATGGTATATGAGTAATGTATATATGTGTTAATGTATGTAACTATAGAAAGAGCTCAGATGGGAGAGGCACATAAGCTTTCTTCTTCCCACCCCTTTCGAGCCAAACCCTTAATAATAATAAAAAAAATAGTTAATATATGTTGTACAGCTCCTCGTAACTTTTTTGTTTGGTTCTTCATTCTCTTGTTGCCCGTGTGTGTGGGTACAGTGCTCTCTGTATGGCGCAGAATGTTTTAATTGTGTATGGCTCAAAAAAGTATTCAAACTAAATCAAATCAAACCTGAAGAAAGTAGAAGCTTATAGTCCAGAAAGTGCTGAAGTTACAAATAAAGAAATCAAACCTTAATCAAATGAAATTGAATCACCTGTTCTTACATAAAAACAACATGAAGGAAACAAATATGAGGCAAACATATATGTCATAAATCAGGCATCTCAGAGTGTTTGAAATGATTTTGCAACTGCCAACATGTTGACTTTATTCTCCATATGATCTAACATGTTGAACTGCTCATGTGATCACGACATGTGGCGCTCTGAGTGTAACTGAGAAGACTCACACATAAAACAAATGAAAATATACAAAACCTAAATCCTAACATCAGCCTGCCCAGGGACTACGGGTGGAATTTAACTCTTTAGCTATAACCTGGTAAAATGCATCTTTCCCTTTGAGGTTAATATTTATTGTACACTGTCCCGGTCACTTTAGATTAATAAATTAAACGTAACTTAAAAATGGTGCTGCTCTTAATATCCCACAATATGTCACTGTCCGTAATAGTGACCTGACACAATGCTGTCTGCTGAGGCCCAATCCCATTAGGATTAAACTCAAGATCCCATTCAACCTCAGCGTCCCAGTGTGGCACGAGAAAAGAGTACTCAAGCTTACTACCAGTAATAACACATCCATGAATGAAAATGTCCTTGTCAAACTATGTTCTTAGAAGTTCAAATACAGTCATTTTTGGACTTTCTTCAATTTCTTTCAATTCTGTGGCCTATATAGTGATGCGGCCAATAGATGTACTTTTATTTTGATAGAGCTCCCCCTGGTGTGCAGGAGGAGATTTAGACACAGCTCTATTGGCTGTTAATCTCCAGAGCTATGTCACATCACATAATCCTGCTTCATTCTGTTTATGTGAACAGCAGAGAGCCATGAGTACTGGGAAATACACAGGAATGCTTTTTATCAGCTGTTGGTCAAGTGTTACATTATAACATACTCAAGTGCAGCCTATATGTAAAGGTAATGTTCTTTCAAATGTATGTAGTGTGTTTTATATACAGTATACTGTAATTATAAATGTGTAGGGACACTGCTGTATGTTTGTTTATTTTTATTAAGATCCCCATTAGCTACTGACATACAGTAGCTATTCTTCCTGGGGTCTATATACTCATCAATGTCACAAAAATGAACGTACAATGAACAGAAATGAATGTACAAACAAAATATATGCTTAAACAATAAATACAGAAATACACAGTAAGAATCAGATTCAGGACGAGGCTGTGGACGCCAATGAGGATGGACCATTTGTATCCCTGTTTCCTCCCGTAATTGTAGCAATTTAGAGAATTTGCCCTTGAGTTATTGGCGTTCGGTGCATTGATGCTGTTTTCCTCTGTTGGTTCAGTGGCAGACACAACACAGTCGTGGTAATGAGGTTAGTGTCAAACCTTTCACCTGCGCCACTCCTCAAGGCCAGTGTCTGGTTCAGGACTTCCATAACCTTCCCACACTATCATGACATTTAGCGTTAATACCAGGTCACGAGAAAGGTCTACAAATGGAGCTGCAGGAAGCTTCTGTTTCCGGTAAAAAATAGGAAACTTTGACTGGGCTGGGGGAAGGGTACTGGGAGGTTTGTTTAACTTCTTGCTTGCACAATGCTGACTAAGTTGTTGATAATTAACTATTTACTCGTAGAACGCTTGGCCACATGGCGCCCGCCAAGTCAAACATTGTATTTGAAACTAGAGAAACGGGTCTCTTGAATGAAAGAACAAGGGTTACCAGGGGACAGAGATAATCCACATGGTTAGTGGATCAGACTGAAAATGACAGTTACGTTTAGCAAGTTCAATCCATCCACAACAACATTAAACATGTCGGATCTATGGCTTCTGTCTGAAGCTGAGTGTGTGCTGCCAAACCCTCATGTTTCATCTGAACAGATGTAGTGTATGTTGTTGTACACCTATAACTTGGTTGAAATATTATTAAGAAAAGAAAAAAGATACAAAAGGAAAAAATAAGTATTCTCAAATCTCAATATTCTAATGCTGTATATTACACAAGTAACTATAATAGTGTATTGAGACAGGCTTCTACTCTTATAGCTGTGCATCAACTGAAAGATTGTATACACACCCTTTTCAACTGATTATACTGATTATTTATGATTATATTGTCCTTTTTTTGTTAAGCACTTTGAATTGCCTTGTGTATGATCTGTGCTATTCAAATGTAATGAATCACGTCTTAGATTCATCTGAGGCTGTACCTTTTGTGTTTCAAATTAAACTCAAATTATCCCTTTAGAACCTTTTTTTTGCTTGCTGACTCACAGCTGTGGTGGACTAGAAATCTTCCAGTGCAGGCTGCTGACCTCTGTTCGAGCACAAGGAAATTCAATAATAATAGGAGCCATTGGTCCATGGGGAGCAAGATGACCAATGTCCACAAGTGCTGATACAAGTGCATAAATATCCATAATTAGTTTTATATATCTGCATCTATTTGGTTAGTATTTTTACCACTATATCTAGGTACGGTGTTTTTATATATATATAATATTCATATTATAAACGCAATACATACTCAATCCGTACATGCTGACTAAGTTGGCTTACTAATTAAAGTTTACTTGATAAAAGACTTTCCAAAGTGCTACAGATAAAAGTTTATATATCCAAGTCTGACAGTTTTATACTGTATATGGACAAAAAGTTGGATAAATAAAACATTGAGATTAATAAAATGAAAACATGGATAACATAGTTAAAACAATAGAATACCTGTAAGTAATAGTAAAAGTAATGGACATTTTTGTATAGATTTTATTCAACTCTCAGTTGCTTGTTGGGTGTAGAAAGAAAGCATTAGATCAAAACCTTTTCCAAATAACTGTCGTGTTGGATTTAGTCAATAAAGTCAATTAAATCCAACAGGTTTGATTTTATTAATTGAATTCAACATAACAGGGATTTGTGGAAAAGAATGCTTCTCTTTATCAATTGAATCCAACACTTGGCTTGGTGGCACTGGACCCTACGTTGGGAAGCAGCTTTTTCCTCTTATCAGCGTGGTGCAGCTGAAGGTCAGGACATTTTCATTCATGAGTTATTTCTGTAGAAAATGCATCATATTCAATAGTGATGAGAGCTCCTATTAGTTTTTGAACATTTGACCGCCAACGCTGCATCCGGTCTGACTGTTTTGTGTTCACTTTCAACAGAAGGGAACATAAACGTGACGTTCCTCTGACTATTGTTTTGGGTTTTTGTTGACTACAGTTCAGTGTCCAACAAAAATAGTCCTTGGAGGAGTGCTAGTCCTCCCTGGGCTGACCTTGTGTTAATTCTGTGATGAAAAAAAACAAAAAACTTCAGCTCCAGGAGTGAGAGGACGTTGCTCTGCCAGATTTTCCCTGTCCCTGCCAAGTGCCTCTATTCTCTATAATTGAACTCATTCACCTTGCTCGGTTCCTTTCTCAAGCATTTTGTTGAAGCTTCGGCTGCTGAAGTACCAAGTCTCCAAAGATGGAACCATATAATAAAATCCGTCTCACTAGTTCCTCACTCTCAAAACAGGTTGGTTCCATCACTAGTTTCTTCATAATGCATGCATTTTTGGCCTCTGTCACATCTTAGACCACTATTTTTGGACAGAAAATAAAAAAAGTGAGGACTTCCAATCCCTCCCAAAGACTTCCTATTTCAATATTCTTAAGTATGCAACAGATTATTATTATTTTTCCAAATTTTACAAGATTCTATCTGTTAATTACCCCTGCTTTAACTTGTCACAGTCAATTTTTTTTACTGATTTCCATAACAAAATATATATCTATAGAACGGGAGTATTGCTGTTTTAATCATTTCTTCCTTCTGGACTCGTGTGGCACAAAAAGCTTCACGTTTTATTATTTATTGCTTCTGCAGGCGGTGATGTCCTTGTATGCCTTGTAAACCGGTTCCTCTCTCTGTGTCTGTGTCTGTGTGTGTGTGTGTGGTGTGTGTGTTGCAGGGAACTGAGGCCATGGTGCTGGAGAGTGTGATGTTCGCCATTTTAGCGGAGAGAGAGCTGGGACCCAAACTGTACGGGCTCTTTCCCCAAGGACGACTGGAGGAGTACGTCCCTGTAAGTGCCCACAACAAATTCAAGCTGCAGTGCTTTTAAATCCACACAAAAAATAACAATGCAATCAAAATCATTGTTTCTGGATCCAAAGCAGTTTAGTTATATCACTGTTTTCATGTGCATGCATTTTTTTTTTGCCTCTGTCACATCTTTAGATCAGCTGTTTCAGACAAAAAAATGAAAAACTCTCACTATAGCGCCTTAAAGGGCAAGTATGGAAATGTTAATATGATTTCTAATGATGTGAAGACGTCATGTTGTGGTATGAATTCTTCACAACATTTTAAAATGGCTTTAAAACGGCTTAAGATATGCCAGAGAGACAAGAAAATACATAAACTGTAGAAAGAGACGGACTGACCCCTGGCTCACAATGCATACCGCCGACTGGTCTCTCTTTGTCTTCACCACGGAGAGTACAAGTGGACCAGCCAAGTGATGCCGTCACCGAGGAGGCTGATTTGAATGTGGGCTGGCTGGATCCGGTTTCCCTCTATGGGCATTTGTGGTAACAGGGTGACCTACATCTCAAAGCAAGTGCAGATTCCAATTAACATGTTGCTAACAAGGGCTTGCTCATGTCTGGATTTACAAAGACAGCCTCAAAAACCTGGATCAATGAAAAGGCTAGAAAAGGTTCAGTTAGGTACCCCTTAAGCTCAACTCTTGCGTGACCAAAATATATCAGTTAAATCTGAAGCTAATAATGGACAAAATGAGAATGCTTTGGACCATGTTGAGTTGAGTTTATGTATTTCGAGTTAAATATACATTATACATTAATTATCAAACGTCACTACATAGAACCTTCCAGAAAATCATTAATTTACAATTATGTATCATTCAAACTCTGAAAGGAGCAACTGGAAGAAAAACATCTTATAAATTCCCACCCCCCATGAACATCACACTTACACTGATGTGTCCGGAGTGTAATATTCTTCATATAATCTGTGGTTTAAATTATTGTACAGGTAATAAATTGATTTTTTTTTAAAGTTATTAGATAGTTATGTTACTACTTATTTGTAACGTGCGTTTCATTTTTTTTCATTGCATAAGCGTTTCTTCAAACTACTTCCACAAATGTCAACTGTGCAGGGTGACCCAACATTTGAGCTTTTTATATAACTCAACTGAACTGAACTGAATCAATAAGGGCTGTCAATGGCCAGACTGTGCCAGAGTCTGGGACAATAGAATGTAATGTCTTTCCCCCTAATTTGTTGACATTTTTTTGGCAGAGTCGTAAGCTGGAGACCTGTGAACTGAGCTCTCCCAGTATCTCGGCAGAGGTGGCTGAGAAGATGGCCAAGTTTCACGGGATGAGAATGCCGTTCAACAAAGAACCGAAGTGGCTGTTTGGAACCATGGAAAAGTGAGTGACCGGCCAAACACGTAACACCGCTCTTATCATTATCTTCATCTGTTTGAGCTACTTTCAACTATTTATTTTCACCGTGCAATGTTTGAACTTTAGAGTCATGTTTGCTTATCATCTTACCTGCTCTGTTTGATCTGACGTGCACCTAAGGCTTGCCTATTTGTGTAAAGCCAATTTATGACTTTATTTATTTAAAAGTCATTTATTGAGTATTATTAGTGTTTTTTTCAACTCATTTTTGTATAGCCCTGAAGCACAACAGCAGTCGCCTCGGAGCACTTTCCAAAGTTGTCGATTGAGGACACAGGAAATGCAATATTAACAAACATATAGAAGCCATTAGGGAGCGGGATGACCACTGTCCACAAATGTTAATAAATGTCCCGAATTATCACTGTCCACATGGATGCGTTGATTTAACTAGCATCTGTGAGTGACCCATTTGTGTAAGACCTTCCGGGAAAACGTGGAGAAACAATAAAACATGCAAATTACAGTACAACATGTATACAACAGTCATTTTTATTGATGACCATCCTTAAGTTTAGAGCTATACAGATAAGATAAAAGATGAGTAATCTAAACTTTACAACTTCACACTCTGTCCTATTTTTGTGATGAAATTCTGGCGGTTTCCATCAAAGTTATGAGAGTATCTAAACCGCTCCATATCCACAGCCCGAGGGAGCCAGCTTGCTCCTCATGTTGGTGTGTGTGCGGCAATGTCGTCCTGTCTTTTAGTAATCTTTGTTTATTTATATATAGCCCCTTTCACAGACCAGAGCCACAAATCTCTGATAACACATAGAGATGGAAGATGCCAGACCTGTTGTACATGTTTTTAGTGGTAGGGGAAACCGGAGCACCCAGAGGAAACCTAAGCAGACAAGGGGAGAACATGCAAACTCCACACAGAAAGATTCAAGAGGTGGAATCAAACTCAAGGCAAGGCAAGTTTATTTGTATAGCACAATTCATACACAAGGCAACTCAAAGTGCTGAACAAGATAGCATTAAAATCATAAATAATTACAGAACATTAAAAAGAAAGATAAAAACATAAAATCCCTCAGTTGCATGCACAGCTAAACAGCACCGTTTTTAACCTGGTTTTAAACATTGTCAGAGAGGAGGCCTGTCTCACATCTTCAGGAAGACTGTTCCAGATTTTAGCAGCATGAATCTGAAAAGCAGCCTCCCCATGTTTAGTTCTGACTCTGGGCACTAACAGGATTCCAGTCCCTGTGCTCCTCAGAGTCCGGCCTGGTTCATATGGTACTAACATGTCACTAATATATTTTGGTGCGAGGCTATGGAGAGACTTGTACACAAGCAGAGCTGTTTTAAAGTCTATTCTCTGAGCCACAGGAAGCCAGTGCAGAGACCTGAGAACTGGACTAATGTGGTCGTACTTCCTGGTTCTAGTCAGGACTCGAGCTGCTGCATTTTGAATGTACTGCAGCTGTTTTACAGCCTGTTTGGACAGACCTGTGAGCAGGCCATTGCAGTAGTCTAACCTACTGGAGACAAATGCATGGATAAGAATCTCCAAGTCTGCTTTAGACACTATGTTTTTGATCCTGGCAATGTTTTTTAGATGGTAAAAAGCTGCTGATGTTACTGATTTGATGTGGCTATTAAAATTTAAGTCTGAGTCCAGTATTACCCCTAGATTTCTGACCTTGTTTGAGGATTTTAGGGAGAGAGACTGGAGGTGACAGATGACGCTCTCTCTTTGTTTCTGGGGACCAAAGACAATCATTTCAGTTTTGTCTGCGTTTAGCTGAAGGAAGTTGTTTTGCATCCACTCACTGATCTGTTGGATACAGTGAAGGAGTGAGTCTACTGGTCCATGTTCTCCTGCAGTCAGTGAGACATAGATCTGAGTGTCGTCTGCATAGATGTGATAGGACACTTTGTTTCTGCGTATTAACTGACCTAACGGCAGCATGTAGAGATTGAACAGGAGAGGTCCCAGGATCGACCCCTGTGGTACTCCACAGGTCAGGGCCATATGATCTGAGACACAGTTTCCAATCTCCACAAAGTACTTCCTATCTTCAAGGTAAGACCTAAACCAACTTAGGGCGGTGCCAGCGACGCCCACCCAGTCCTCTAGTCTCTGTAAGAGGATCTCATGGTCGACAGTGTCAAAGGCAGCACTCAGATCTAACAAGATTAGGATTGAGACTTTGCCTGCGTCAGTGTTCAGCCGGATATTGTTTGTTACCTTGACGAGAGCAGTCTCAGTGCTGTGGTGGGGTCTAAAGCCGGACTGAAACATATCAAATGAGTTGTTGATTATAAGAAATCTGTTTAGCTGTTGGTAGACAACTTTTTCAAGGACTTTCCCCATAAATGGCAGATTTGAGATTGGACGATAGTTGTTAAGTACAGTAGCATCCAGACTGCTCTTTTTTAGCAGGGGCCTGATGACTGCCGTTTTCAGGGCCTTTGGGAATATTCCAGAATTAAGGGACATGTTTACTATCTGTGTGAGTGAAGGTAACAGACTGCTCAGAACAGACTTCAGAAATCTAGTGGGTAGTACATCCAGGCTGCATGTGGAGGAGCTCAAACTGGAGATTATCTCTTGGACAGTTTGATCATTTACAGGTGCAAAGTAAGTTAGCTCAAAGAGCCTTTCTGGTTGTTGGATGGTTATCTGTGGATTGGAGACAATGGCGTTTTTGATGCCTTGAACCTTGTCATTGAAAAAATGTGCAAACTCATTACATTTACGTTTGGAAGTAAGCTCTAATGGCATTTGAACAGGGGGGTTTGTTAATCTATTAACTGTTGAAAACAGAACACGCAGATTGTTGCTGCAGCCTTCAATCATTTCAGAAAAATACCTTTCTCTCGTACTACGTAGCACCCGGTTAAACTCGCACAACTTATCTTTGAAGATCTCGTAATCAACCTGGAGGTTGGACTTGCGCCACTTTCGCTCGGCCCTCCGGCACTCTCTCTTTTGTCCCCTGACCGAGTCTGCTTTAGCCCACGGCGCCTTCTGCTTATTTTTCACTATTTTAACCTTCACAGGAGCGATGGTGTCCAGAACATTCAAAACACTAGAGGTGACAGAGTTAAACAGTTCATCTACGATAGAATACGATGCATTCTCAAAGTTTATCATTCCCATAAATAGTTCACCCGTATTTTCATTTATGTGTCTTCTTCGTACAGTTGCAGAGTCCACTGGTGGTTTGTTAGTGAAACACATGTCAAAAAATACACAGAAATGATCCGAAAGCGCAACATCGACCACGTTTACATTAGAAATGTTCACCCCCTTTGTAACTAACAGGTCTAGAGTGTGCCCTCTGCTGTGGGTGGGGCCACTCACGTGCTGAGTGACACCAAAAGATTCAAGAACAGAACTCAGCTTTTTTGCATTTCTGTCATTAACATTATCCACATGAATATTAAAATCCCCTGTAATAACTAAGCTATCAAAATCTGTGCATACAACTGAAACAACTCAGTAAAATTATCAATAAAACTGTGACATGACTGCGGTGGCTTGTATAGGACAACGAAGAGTATTGGAGCAGATTGTTTTTGTTGTATTTTAAAAGACACATATTCAACTTCCCAAGAGACTCAGGACCTTCTTACTGTGATGCACAAGCGCTAACCACTGCACCACCCCTCCAATTCATTTCTTTTAGGAATTGAAAGTGCATGATCAAATGGAGATTTTGGAGTAATTAGTTGCCTGAAATGGTGTGAGTAAGATGTGGTCTGTCCCCAGGTACCTGAGCCAAGTGATGAAGCTGAACTTCACCAGGGAGTCCCAGCTGCGCCTCCACAACCGTCTGCTGAGCTACGACTTGCCTCGTGAGATGGACTCTCTCAGGTCAGTCTCTCTGCACACACACTTTTGGTGCACACTGAAATTAAGAAAAATGTAGGTGCAGCATTTTTTGTGTGATCCTGTAACATAATAAGTGAGAAAAAAACTTTATAGGAAGAGGGTAGCGTCATACAAGTTGTTTGAGAATAAGCAGGTACCTACGGTCGCAGTGTGCACTGTTTTGTTTGGGGATAATCTTTATTTTTCTTTTACCACAACCAGTAAACATAGTACAAACAAGTATAATCTGAAAGAGACACAAAGGGACTAGTTTTTCCTGTTGTAATATGGTCTGATCAATCATAGCTTTGAAGCCGTGCAAGCTCTCAAAAGCTTTTTTTAGTTTAGCAGCAAAAACAACAAAGGCCAACACAAAATAAGTAGATTACTTTTGTTGATTTCTTCAAAGATTGTGGGTTTGAAGAAATAATGATGATTGCATCATTTGCTGGAATATTAAGCACCCTTTTAAATAAACTGTATAAGCTCAATTGTTAAAGAAAGTAATTTTATTCCACATATAGGCCGCACTTGAATATAAGCTGCAGATTTTCATGTTGTACTGTAACACTTAACCAAATAATAATATCTATTTTGACAATAACATTCTTACTAAAACTTGCTAAAATACTCTGTAACAAGTCCTGCTCTTCCTTGTATTGGCTCTCTGCTGTTCACATAAACACTGGACTGGGAGAGCTGTGTCCAAATGGGCCACATGGCTATATATGCTGCAGGGTCCGAAGAACTTGAAAAGAGTAGCAACTTACAGTCCAGCAAGTTCTGTCATTTTCTGGCCCACATTCAAGTTGATCTTCCACAATTTCAGATTATAGTTCATACTAAAGACTGGTTCGTGGATGCAAGCGGGTGAAATTCTGTGGCTCTGATGCCTTTGGACACCGGTGATCAGAGAAATGTATCTTTGTTTACCAAAAACTGAAACACTATTTGGCTTTTTTCCACTGGCTTTGGGAAAGAAAAACCTGTACCCATGTGCGATGAGTGCGCGTGAATTTATTATGGATGTTTTTATGGAGCAGTGGAGAACGAGGGCTAAAAAGTTTAATAAAAATTGCATGTTAAATGAAACTATTCCTTTGTCCCCTGCTCAGGGGTAAATTAGCACTCCTGCTATAACCTGGTACCATGCATCTCTCCTTTTGTCTAATGTTTATTGTACACTGTCCTAAACTGTCCCAAACTATCAGAAATCTGTAAATAGTTTGTCTTCCAGGTAAATACATATATACATGTACCCTATACATTGGGTCTATACACAAACACACAAACTTACACAAGGAGGGAAATTTTTTTTAGCATCCACGTTTTGTAACTACAGGGCCTCACTTCAGTCTTAAACAAGGAAAAGTTACGAGATCGCAGAGAGCTGGCAGATATTTTCAGAGATTTGTTTTTGAGCTTCAAAAATGAGTGGAATGTTCATGTTTGTGTGTCCAGGGCGCTGCTGACCTCTACGCCATCTCCTGTCGTGTTCTGTCACAACGACTGTCAGGAAGGTAAACACTGTACATCTCTCTTTGAGCCTCTTTTTATTTGGTCTGGTTTGGTTTGGTTTGGTAACACTGGCATTGTATGTTCTGTTTGAAGGGAACATCCTACTGCTGAGCGGCTGTCAGAGCTCTCACCAGAAGCTCATGCTCATTGATTTTGAGTATAGCAGCTACAATTACAGGTATGTTACTATTATTATTGTTTGTAAATATACTAATCCGAATAATATGGATTTGTGGCATTGATAACTGTTGATATTAATACATGCATTAGGATTACAGAGTGACAATGCTAAGTTGTCACAGTTGATTTTTTTTTTGAATGGGTGATAGTTTTAGTAAAACTCCTTTGTTTTTTGTGTCTTTTTTAAATCTTATGATACAGAAATGCAAGAAAATAGTCTTGTCTTCAGTGTTGTCCTCTGCCTGTCGACCTGCAACCCTTACAGATAATCGCTATGTTATGTAACCAGCCGATACGCAGAAGCCTCAGACTGTAGGAATGACCTTAGCCCTGGACCTGGCAACATTATTGATGGAAGCCAGCCAACGCAGTAGATTTCCAGAGAATTGCCTTGTGTGTGTGTGTGTGTGTATGAAGTGGAGGGTAGCTGTGGGAAACACTGTGCTTGGCCTTGGCTCGCACTCGGGAGACAAAGCTCTCCTGTCAGGCCATTTTTTTCACAGCACCCAGTCACTACATCCAGTGCAGCTCAATCCCCCCCTCCCCCCCCCCCCCCAGCTCAATCTACCCCACTCCCCCCCTCCCGCAAAAAAACCCACAAACACAGAATCATGTTAAAACACGTGCGGGGAGTTAGCGGCCCTCCCCACCCACGTGAGCCACCGCAAGGACCCCAGGACACGCCCACAAACATGCACTTCATTATAATGCAGACTGCTCCTGGGGACGGCGCAGCAACGTGAAAACAATGAGCTGAGTGTTGCAAAGGGAGAAGTGCAGAGTGATAGCAGTCACTATGGAAATGTAGCTCTCTGCTATTTACATCATTTGTGTATTGAGTATTGTGTTTCCTAAGTGCATAACAATTGATGATGATTCAGGACACATTCAGCAACATTTATGGACATTTATGACCACACATATAGGGACCAATACCTATTTTTTGTTTGATTCTCTGATCTGTGTTGGCGAATTCAACAGTTGTGTAAAGTCCTCCGAGATAATTACTGTTGTGATTTAGGGCTATACAAGAACACAATGAATTGAATTGATTTAGCCAGAATTTAATTATTTAACATAATACCATTTTCTATATATATATTACAGAGGCTTTGACATCGGTAATCATTTCTGCGAATGGATGTACGACTACAACTGTGAGGAGTTTCCTTTCTTCAAAGTGAATACCCAGGCGTACCCCACCAAAGCCCAGCAGGTATGCACTGGTTTTATACTTCTGAGGCACAAACTGGTGGTTTTGTCGCTGATTCTGGCTCCTACTTCAGTGCAAGATCTACCACACACAAATGTATTCATGATATCTGTTCTTAGATGTTTTTCATTGAAAACTACCTGCGTGAGTTCGAGCCTGATTTTGATCACTTGGATGAAGAAAACCAAATGAGGCTGAAGGAGGAGATGTTTGTGGAGGTGAACAGGTGAGAAGACCATGTGCGATTCCAATTCCAGTCATTTATTTACCAGTAGAAACTTGAGCTTGAACCTATTTGTCTGTCATCTACAGGTTTTCATTGGCTTCTCATTTCTTCTGGGGATTATGGTCCTTAATCCAGGCTCGACTCTCCACCATCAAATTTGGATATCTTGTAAGTTCACACTGAGCAGATGAAGTAGAAAACACATTTTCCTTTTCCTTTCTTTTCTCTCCTCTCTGTCAGCGCAGGAACTCCAAGCATCTGTCAATAATTATGAACTAATACAATAAAACATTTCAATATTAACATTTGTTCCTTTTATTGCAGGAATATGCTGAGGCCAGATTCGAAGCATACTTCGCCCAGAAGAGGTTGTTGGGCCTGTAGAGAGACAAAGCCAAAGCAGAGGGGCTTCCTGTGGATACAACCTGCTTTATTTACACTCCCTGCAGCAGGTGCCAGGCTGTGTGGTTTTGACCAAAGCCTTGTGTTCTTGTAGCCATACTTAAGTATGCCACACTATCAATCGCAGTTCAAAGTTTACACTGTGTAACTCTTGAAAGCCAACAGTGTGACACCATCAATGTACTAACATGTACAATCAGCTTTTGCCTTTAAGACCACACTAATGCAAGGGTTACTGTTGAGGTGTGCAGACGCTACGGAAAAACTGGAAATGTTAAGCATTGCATCAATGTAGGCCTATGTGTATGAATACTTCCCTTACACTTTGTAAGGAAACCAAATGTGAACTTGGTAGATTGCTGCTAACTTAACCAGCCAGTAGCTATCTATGTATATTATATATAAATATTATTTTGCCAGTATCCTGGTCCTTATTCTGTTACTTAGGGGCTGGCCAAACTATGACTTAATTGCGACATTGTCACACTGGTTCACACTTGTGTTTTGTTTATCTCTTTAATACTTGTTTTTGTATATGATTTTATAAGAACATTGTCACATTTCCATTTGCCTTGTTTATGTCTTAAGAAAGAAAGCCTCACCAAAACAATTACCACCAAATGTTGAGGGTTTTTCTTGTTCAACGCTATGTTTCTCTAACCTCAACAATGTGATTTTTTTGGAGTTTACTCATTCTTAGGTAAACTTAACCTATCAACACTGTATCGAAGCCTGCATATTGAGTTTGAGCAAAACATTCCTTTAACTTTCTTTATATAACCCTTTTTGAAGTAGCAACATTGGGTATGTACATCTGCCCTGTTTTGTGGATACTATAAACAGGTCTGAGGTGGTGGTAGGGCCACCTTCCTCTCTGCTCAACTCTGGCCAAGATACACTCAATATTACAATATGTGGTGATTACCAAATGTCCTGATGCTTCAAACAAGAACTATAGAAATGATTGCTTTGGACAATGCACTTTTTTCCTCTTGGGTCAATTAGCATCACATTGTATTCACTGTGGTATAATAGCTATTTGTGTGCGTGAAGCAATGGTGACGTGGGACCTCGAGTCTCCGCTGGACAATGACAAATACCAACGTGACACTTCCCTGTTGCTGGGAACATCCACAAGTGTTTGAATGTTTATTGAGGCACTTTAAAGATATGGGCCCACTGTTTTCACGTGGGGCTGTTAGAAATTTATATTTTTGATTGTGTTTTGTGTGTTGATAAAATGTGAATCATGTATTTTGGGGTTAGTTCAGCGTTTGGGTAGGAGACAGTCTTTGGTACATCTCAGTATTTTGTATATCGGAGCAACATTGCAGTGTTACAAACATATATGTGATCAGTCCTGCAAGTTTGAAAACATAATCGTATCTTTACCCCATTTCCAAGTGTTAATTTATCTGCTGGTGTTGTACATTCCATTCTTATTCAATCTTGGTATAATACAGCTAAGCATCATATTAAATAACCCTGTAATTTCACGCTTACTTATTGAACAAAAAAACTGTTTTAGCCAAATTCGACAAACCTCCTATACTTTCAAGACATTTAGTTGGTGCCACTACTTGCTCTATCATTGTGCTGATCTATGCAGTCAAAAGCACATACTGTACGCACCTATGAGACATGTTTTGGATGCCGATATATTCAAGTTTATTGAATAATTATTGTGCTGTACATATTGCATTCGCTTTGCATCAATAAATATAATAAATAATACATCATTTGGTCTTGTTGTGATTTTGATCGCTCGCCAATACTGTTTAGGTCAAGGTGCCCAAACTTTTCAGTAAGAGGGTCACTTTAGTAAACCAGACTAGTCCAGGGTCCGACAACATGGACTGTAAAACACTTTTGACTGGATTTGGGTTAAGCTTTAAAAAGTTCTGAGCTTTAGAATATGGTATGATGTGTCCGTATTGATTCACACCACAGCTACATTTGCGCCATATGTGGACTTTAGAATTTTGTGACACAACTAAAAACAAAAGACACGGTATACAAATAAAGGCAATGACTGGATTCCAAATGTTCCGAGCTTTACAAGGACGTATAGCATGACTATATTGGTGGAGCTGAAGTTGGCTGGATGACACTGAATATGTACCTCAATGGCTACTTTGTGTTAGCAGCAGAGGGCCACATAAAATGACACAGCGGGCCGCATTTGACCCACGGGCCGTAGTTTGGACATGTCTGGTTTTAATCTTACCATACTATCCTCTGTGGCTCTAGTTTCAGGGAGCGACCCCGGCTTGAGGAGAGGTACCAATTACGTAAGATCATTCTCCGAAATCTGCTTCTTTGACTTGAGCCTGGATGCTGACTGAAAGCATTCCCCAAATATTCCAGGGCTTCTTTGGCGTGACCTCTGGCCCCAGTCTGAGGAAGGATAGATTCCTTCAAAGTGGGCTGCTAACCTTGTAATCAGGGGCCTTTGGAATGGTCAGCATATGTAGCTCTTTGTCATATACCACTTTATTGTGTTAGGCTAAGTGACTTATCATGTGTTTACAAAGCAACTGATGCTAGGTATGGGTCCTCTTTTACTTATTTATTTATATTTCACTTGTGGACATGAAAATACATCACATTTCTTGGTAGTCCTGTCACACAAATTTACTAAATGAGGTTGTGTATTAATGTTTACTTCAGGTCACATCGTTTAAACAATAAAACATAAAAAAATGAGTATAAAACAATGAACATGAATAAGGAGACTGAGCAAATGTCTGATGGTATTTGAGGTCACAACTTCATGGCAGTTTAGATCTGATTGAGCATGAGTGTCACCAGACAAAACAACTGAAAGAGCATCTGTCAAGAGATCTATTCTGGTGGTGCAGTAATGCAGCAAGAAAAGCATCCCAGTTGAAGCGGATTTCATTTTCTAAGTACAATTCTGTAAAGATGCCAAAAAACATCACGATGAATGAGAGTCTGGACATACGCTCTGTTTGGATGGGACTGCAACAGATGAGGTTTGGCTTGGCAGAAATGATTGGTCCAGAGATTAAATGAAGCAAGCTATAGAAGTTGTATTTACAGCCAAGATACAGTTTAGGACGGCCCCTTATGTGGGAACAATCCTGTCTTCATTGTATGTAGTAAACATAGCAGTAAAAATACTCCCTACTAACTACATACTGTGTTTAAGTTGAAGTTCAATTTGATTTTGTTTTTTAGGTGTTTCTTTAGGTGTTAAGTGTTTTCTTTGCTACATAAACGCTAGGACTCCAACATTAATGAAACTACTAGAACTCCCGGTGCTCCCATTCACATCCATAGAAGTCTATAAACCCCCCCCCCCCCAAAATAAATCAGTATTTCACCATAATTGTTAACGTTTTTTGTTTCGTTTTTTTAATTTATCTTTACTCCCTTTTACTAATTGCAGACGGCAAACGGTGTGTTGCCAGAACTCACTCTTCATAATTAATAGTTACCTAATGTAACTTAAGTTCTACGAATAGGTGCGTAGTCCCTTAGCGGACTTCGCTAGTGGGATATCACGTGACCCCCAGGTCACACGCCAGAGAGATCAAAATAATTTGCTCCAATCACTAGCGACCCTCCTCTATAAAGGCCCCTGCACAAGGCCGCACCCCCTCTTGAACTCTGCCAAGCCGGGCTGGCCTGATGGGCTCGTAGCTAAGGGACTACGCACCTATTCGTAGAACTTAAGTTACATTAGGTAACTATTAATTCTACGTCATGGTGCTACGTCCCTTAGCGGACTTCGCAAGTGGGACCAGTGTTGCCAACTTAGCGACTTTGTCGCTAGATTTAGCGACTTTTCAGACCCTATAGCGACTTTTTTTCAAAAAAGCGACTAGCGACAGATCTAGACAAAGCATTAAAATCATTAAATGTTGAAATTATTTTTGTACATTTGTAGTTCTAAACATATTTAGGGTGTTTTTTACTCACTTTCGTCTCTCCCACGACATTATTCCTCTCTCCTTCAGCGTCCGTTACAGTCATTTGCAAATTGCCAATTATGCAAATTAGGCGATGACGTCATTTAGCGACTTCTAGCGACTTTTGGGACAGCCAATAGCTACTTTCCTTACTGAGGAGTTGGCAACACTGAGTGGGACACAACGCGGAGGCCGTAGGAATGTCAAGGGGTGCAAAATGGGTGGTGGGTTTTAATATAGTTTATTTATATTTTATGCAGGTCGTGTGTGTGTTTTTAATATTGATTTTAATTTGCACCACCTGAAGCACCCCGGCTCCCCACGTGACAATTAGAACACCTGTGCCACGGTACAAAAGGAGATGGGGAGGGGGCAGGAGAAGGAAAACTTTGCCTGGCCTGCCAAACGATATGCTTTTTCAAAGACATATAGTCTGGGAACGAGCTTGATCTCAGCGAATTCCCGGTGGGCGTGGTTGACAGACTGCATCAACCAATTAGATGCACACAGGATATGACGCAGCAACTAGCGGCACCCAAGCCGTTTCAGTAAACACAAAACAAGGGATGGCGGCATGTCAGCTAGTGCAAATGTAAACGACTGTTGTCGATTTTGTAACAAAAACTTAAAGATACGAGGAGTTATTAGCAACTCAAAGGTGAAAGGAAGTCCCGCCTCTCGGTGCGTGATTGGACCGATGTGGGTAAAATCGTGAAATGATAGGCTAGGAAGAGGTGTCCAGACGGTTCTTCTTTTGAACAGAAAGGAGGAGTGTCTGGCAGGCCAGGCAAAGGAAAACTGAGAGGGAGCCAGACAAGGGAGCCAGGCGAGGGATGCGCGAGTGGTCCCGCACAGGAGGACGCGGCTCACCCGGGGGCGCAGCGGACAAATGCAAGGCACGGCGGAGGAGGCGCGCTGCGGAGGTGAACCCCCTCTCCCCAGCGATGGAAAGGCACAGGTGTTCATGAACTAGCAGGGACTGCTATTATTAAAGCAGGGGGGAGTGTCAAGGGTAAGTAAGTAAGTAAGTTTTTATTTATATACCGC